CACACGATTTCCAGTGATGATTCTGCTTAGCAGTGTTGACAATCTGAATCCAATACTTGCACATCTCACTTCTCATTCTCCATTCAATCTTGAACCTACCTGTGTTACTGTGCCAGGATAGAGGTCTTCATCCTCTTCATGAGTCCAAACTCATGTTCTTACTTTGATGGTCTCTTCAGATTCCCCTTGAGTTAAAACAAACTTGTTTGAGGAGAAGCAGTCAAGAGTGACTATAGAAGCACAAGACCTCTTGAAATGTAATATTTCCTGGTTCAACAGCAACAACCTGTGGAGACATTATGTTTAGTATGATCTGCAAAACCATGAAAAGGTCAGGTGTATATATAACTTTTTTTCTGTTTTGAAATGCAAACTTACAAGAAATATTGAAAAAAAAATGAAATCAAGCTTTAAAAAAAAGCCAAACAAGATCACAGTGAGTGTGAATTTGTTTAATTGCAAATTGTGGGTGCTCACCTAGTGTATTTTCATAGTTCCTGGGACTGATTTGATTTTTTTAGAGCACCTCCTACTGCACCAGGAGCTCCCTTTCCATGAGAGGCCTCAGTAAAGTTCCACGTCACTTTTAAACCCTTTCATAAAAGGCACTGTGGACGTAAGGTAGAATGCTACCTTTATTTGAGCTGTTGGTCCATCAGACAAGACATGCATATTTTTTGCCAGGGGGTAGTTAGATGTTATGTACTCTAAAACTGATTGCAAATGTGCCCATGTAGCAACAGTTTCGTGCTCCAAACTGGCAGACAAAGTAGCAAAGGATTCAGCTTTACCATGAGTGTAGTATAACACCCCTGTATGGAGAGTAACTTGCTGGTGGGATCCACCAAAGTGAGTGTCTTTTATTCCCTTGTTCCATTTGCACATGTGGTTTTCCCATATTCAACATGGACTATAACATCATGCTGGGTCAAATTTTCTTTAGGTTGCTTGAGACGATTGAACTGCGCCAATGTTGTACAAATGAGTAGAGATCCGGGGAAGTTCCAACTTGGTTAGCTCTACAAGTTTTTCAATAATAGCAACTTTCTTCTCCAGGGTCGTGGTTTAGATGTCAGTCTCAGTGGTAGTGCCATCCTGCAGTTTCTTTGTTAGTGGTCTTGACCTTGTCAACTTAGTCCAAGATATGTTGATTTTGGTTGTTGGATCCACGTCGACAGGGAAAGTAAGATCTTCACAGGCGTCACATCTACCATACATGCAATCAATGTTTTCACAGACGGATGGAGCCACCATCTCAGTAACAGCTAATGAATCATTCCAAGATGGTGCTTTTTTTTAATTTTTTTTACTTTACTTAAGAAAAATTCTCATGAATTTTGCAGGCACATGTTTCTCTGTGATCTTTGGTCTCACCATCTAGAAGGGCTTCAGTTTAAAAAAACTGGGAGCGGGACACATTGAAAACTGGTTCTCTTTAAAGCTACAGTGTGTGATTTTCAGCGACATCTAGCGTCCAGACTGCAGACCGCAGCAACATGAACATCTCCCCCCCACCGCTTCTCCCCCCCAACAGTATGGCGAGCGTTACGGGACAAAATGTCTTCCACGACGTCCGCATCACCTACCTTCTCAAGTGATGAGGTTTGTTCACATAGATAATTTTACAGATAGTATTTCATTAGTCTGTGTGTTCAGTACCGTCTCAGTTAATCTCTCTCAACTTGCCGTAGTTACTTTCGAGCGTAATGGGCGATCTCGCAATCGCTAGTTTGTTGGCTCTGCGCTGCCGTAGCGCAAAGATGTCTGCCTCCATGGCTGCGAGACCCGCTCCTATGTAATTATAAATAACGAATTCTAAGGCAACGCAAATATTAAGGTTAAAAGGCTGAGCTCGTAGATGATGATAAATAACATAGTTATGTATAATATATTACATTTCTGACTGTATATCCCTGTAATTATTACACACTGTAGCTTTAAGAAATCTCTTGTAGAAATTTCCTATGGTGTCTAAGATGAACCTTTTCCTGTAAATTTGTCCACCTTTCTTGACTTCCCCAGTTTTACCATTTATTATTGTGGACACATCTCAGTTTAGGAACAGTCTGACATTGTCACTCAGCTTTCCTCTTTTGCTTCTCTCACACAGCTTCTTGCGGCTCTCTCTCCTCTGTTTGGCTTGTCTTGTAAGTAGAACTGTGGACCTGTGTTCCTCCATTTGTTTTGTTTTTTTCTTCAGACAATCTAGTTCTTTTTTTATGTCACTGAGAATTTGTAGTGCCTTCCGTAGTTTTTCTCTTAATTTGGTTGTTTTTTTCCCCCCGCATTGTCAATGTTGCAGACAGCTAATTAATTTAGGTTCTTTGTTTGGATGGCCCTTTTACAAGGCTGTGGGTTGATTAATTCACACCGTCATCTCAGGAAGGGGTTTTATTTAGTATGTGTTGAACTGCTCTTTCTTTTTATTATATCGGTTAGAGTTTTCCCTCCATTTTTTTTCACCGTTTCTGCAGCTGCCTGGGAGTCAGATCTGCAGCTGCCTTTCACAACCCTTATTCCTTTCGCTTCTGATACCTGTTAAAATAAGATATCAACAGGAACATTTGTGAGACAGCAACATCTTCAGAATGCTCCATACTGTATTTTACGGAAGAGGATTAGGGCCACTGGGAAAAAAAAAAAGTTAACAGATTTTTTTTTATTTTATTTCAGTATAGTATGGGAAAAAAGTCAGAATTCTGACTTTTTTTCTCAGAATTCTGACTTTTTTTTATTGTCAGAATTCAGAGATTAAAGTCAGAATTCTGAGAAAAAAGTCAGAATTCTGACTTTAATCTCAGAATTGAGATGTTAAACTGAAATAAAATTTAAAAATCTGTTTGCTTTTTTTTTTCCCCAGTGGCCCTAAAATCCTCTTCCGTAGTATTTGCACAGTGTGAGTGTGAAAAAGGAAACAGAAGGAGAGATAAGACAAGGAAAAAGAAAAGCAAGAGGGACAGAAGGAAGAGAGCGAGAAAGAGACACAGAGAGACACCAACTTCCCCTTTCCTTTCTTCTATACTCCTCTAGAAGGTCCGGGATGTTATACATCTTTTCCACCTTAGCTCTTGCTGCCGCCCTCTTCTGTTCACTTCCTTTTAGCATAAATTAGCTTGAAATTTTAGCCTAAAAAGTTTGAAAGTGTAATAACATTACAATTTAAATACCCTATACATTTATCTATTTATTATTGAAAACTGAAACTATTCATCACGTAATCTTATTTCTTATTACTGCAACAGGCCTCTAATATGCGGTAATTAAAATCACGCATTACGGTAATGAATGACATGAGCTAGCTTAAAATCCTTTTATGCCATAATGAACAAAATAAACTTTTCTCACGGTGAGAACCTCCCTAATTTCTTCTACACAAGAAAGTATCTTAACTTTTAAGAAAATTATGTATTATAAATTACAGTAATGATCACCCGTACTGAAAAAATAGGCATATGGAAGGAGAACATTAACAGTTATCATGATCAAAAGATGTCAATCTTACCTTGTAGCCATCTTTTGCCTTCTCTTCTTTGTGGTGCATCATGGGTCAGAATAACTTTATTTTAAAAAAATGCTGAGAATAATAAAAGACCTTGAACAAGGTCCAACGGTAATGACAGTTGCATTTCCGGACACTCATTTTTATTAAAATATTCTGAAATACTTAACAGGAAAAAAAAAATAATATATATATATATATATATATATTTTTTTTTTTTTTTGTAAACCTGCTTATTTATAATGATACATTGAGACAAAAGCATTTCTCCCCCCCTTAGGATGCATAGCGGTAATTAATTTGACTCCAAAAACATTTAAAAGACATTAAAATAATTATTTTGGTAACCAACAATGATCTGTACCAAACATTAGAAATAACAATGGTCTAAATAAAAGTGGATTATTTTGAGTTTTTTATGAGTATGCCCCTAAAATGTTGAAAATCACCCACCTGCCAGGTTTACCATATTAAGGTGACACCATATGACGAAGGCCCTCAGGATGACCAAATAAGCCTGGCTGGTTTTTGCAGAAACCAGAGATGAACTGCAGAGGCACTGATCAAAAACATACACTGCTAGCTTTGATAGTCTGATCATTTTGCACCTTTTAGCACTGCAAAAGCTAATCTAAAAATAAAGTCTTAAAATAAGGGTTGTTCTTAAAATTAGCAGGTAATTGAGATGATCTACCAAGAGAATTTGTATTTTTGCCCTTAAAATAACATAATTAGCTATTATGCTGCTCTATGGGGAGTGGTGGCCTAGTGGTTAGGGCATAGAGTTGGAATCCTGAGGTTGTGAGTTTGAAACCCGCTCCCACAGACTGCCACTCTGGGTCCCTGAGCAAAGACGATTAACCCCCACTGCTCCCCAAGGGGATGGGTTAAATGCAGAATGAGAACTTTATTGTGCTGTACTTGTGACTGTGTAATGACAAATTTGTTTTTAAAAAGCTCTATTATGCACTGGATAAGATCGTGGAGTTTTTTTTTCTTAAAAAAAAAAATCATCCTTAAAAAATATTTTTTCAAGAAAAAAAAATGTAATTTGAATGTTTGGAGTGTAAGAGTTAAAGGGAAGCAGAGGGGACAGCTGAAAACAGTGGTTTAAATTTATGTCAGTATGAAATCTTGTTTGCTATTCAAGTACATGTTTGAAGTACATTTTTTAGAATAGATTTCATTCATACATTAAGTGCTGGCCTAGTGGGTTGGAGCACTGCGCTTGTGCTCTGAGAAGGTTGCAAATACACAGTTCAATCGCCAAAGTCTGCACTCTGGATCTCTGAGCAAGACCCTAAACCCCACACTGCTTCCTGGGCGCCGCAAATGGCAGCCCACTGCTTCCCAACAGGATGGGTTAAATGCAGAGATAAATTTCTCCAGGTTGAGATCAATAAAGTACAATTATTATTAATAACAGTCATAAAGTGTGTTGACAATTCAAGCTACAAAGAAAAAAAAAAAATGGTTAAAATGAGAAACATTTTCACAGCTATTTGAGTGAACTGCCCCTATAAGCTTTATTTGACATTGGAAGAACATTTCTAGGTTTTGAGCATGCATGCCTCCACAGAAGTTCGCTCTCAGTCAGCGTGTAACATGAGTCACCTCAGACTCGACACCAGTCACCAGCATTCAGGATTCTCTGCAGCTGTCAGGTGATCAGTCATCATAGGGCTAAATAATTTCTTACAGGAAAAAAAAAAAAAAAGAGAGAGAGAAAGACAGCCATCACCCCCACATGTCAAACTGCTGATGAGTCAGGTTTTAAGTATAGTAGTTTCCAAATAAGTTTGCAGCAGCAGGTTCCTAAAGCTGCCCGTTCTGATGGTTGACCTGTGATGAACTCCTTTCGAGGTGCACGCACAAAAGAAACAAGCAGTTTTATGCAAAACAACAGCAACCGGTGGTCAATTATGATGAAACAAACAGAACTATTGCATAGTAGAAGAATATTAGGCAGAGTTCAGTGAGAGAAAATAAACCTGTGTGCACTACATCAGAAATGCCAGTGGATAAAGTGTTTTATTAAAAGTCTGAGCCACTGCTGTTCATATTGGAATACTTTAAGAGGGCTTAAACTCCTCATTGACGTTCTGGTCGATTTCTTACAGCCGCTTCTGACTGCTTTGTACAAGAGTCCGGATCGGAAAACTTTAGTAGGAAATGTTAAGGTACAGTATCCTGCATTAACCTCTGGGGATATTGTTAGATATCTTTGATATATAAAGAAAGCATTTCTTTGTTTACCAAACACTCAAGGAGGAGGGGATCAGGGTAACTAAGGCCGAACTTGCACCTTTCAGTTTCAGTGTAGCATAAAGTGCCGCACGAATGTAGCACGACACTCTGGAGCTTTGTGGCACAACTGATTTTAAGAAAAGAAAAGGCAATCATTTCCAGTGCTGGCAGGGGATCGTTTGTTTGGATCGTTCTTGTAAATGAAGAGGACTAAAAGTAAAAAGAAATCAGGAGCTGAAAATAGTTGATTGCATTTAGTTTCTCCCCCATTAACTGTATAAGCGCACTGTAAACATTTCAAGTGTGATTCCTGTGATGAGCTGAGCCCCTCTGTGTGGTCCTCGTGCATCCTGCAGTAGTGTCACCCTCCTGCCAACCTCGCTCTATCCCTCCCCCGGCTTCGCTTCCTCATCACCTTCATCAGTCTCCTCTCTTTGGCAGTAGTGGGTCCTTGGAGTTGACTACAATGCAGCTGTGCAAAACCACGTTTCAGTCTTTTTTTGCCAACTCTGCTCTACTTAACTGATGCTTAACTGCGCAAACCCAATCAGCTTTATATCATCTGGAATCTCAGATTCCTCAACACCAGACGCCTGAATAAAAAACAAACAACAAAAAAACATGATTATAGCTCATACTGTATAACACTGTCATGTGAAATCATATTAACATAAATGTTAACAAAACATGACAAAGTTTTATCAATACATTTAATAACTCATTCAGAGAAAAAATACATTGAAATTTAAGGTCTTTACTGTACAAACTGTTAGAAATAAAACAATTATTTTCATAATAGAATTCATCTTCCTAGCTTACCAGCTTAAAGGTCACATTTTTGTTACTTTGAGGATCATCAACAATCTTTTGCAAATTGGCAGCAACTAGACAGAAGACAAGACCCAAGAGGACAATGATTAGCAGGAATCAGGCTTTGAAGCATAAACACGACAAATATCATGGAAGCAAACGTTGTAAAACTGTGTTTGGATAACAAGGCTGATGTTTTGAAACTAATATATAGATGTAAACAAAGAAGTCTGGTGATGCAGTTTGATTTAGGCGACCGGACTGCAGACTCACCGATGACCAAGTCCCTCCCATCAACCAGCCCAGCTGAGACCAGCTCCTGAGAGACTCCATCAGCAGAGTCTGAGGACAGGAAGGTTATGATCAGATGGGTGGGAGCTAACAGGATGTGGGGAAGAGGAAAAACAGATATAGGAGGATTCCTACCTCTGCCGCGCATGAACTCAAAGCGGATGTCATTAAGCTCTTTCTTGGAGTTCCTCAGTCTGAGGACGAGGCTGATGGGAACACTGGAGGAAGCAGAATCCTAAGGGAAAGGAGCAAAGTAGGAAACATCTCATTGAACATGAGGGAACAGTTCCCATCCTCTCATCTGCTTCGGTTTCATATTAGTTTTGGGCCTTTGATGATTTCTCCAATTGTTATTTTTCCAGGGTTGAACTTTAACAATGTATTTCAAACAGAAGGGCAGAACTTCCAGCGCTAAATGTTGATTTTCTTTATCAAATTTGAAACAAACTTAGATTTTTTTTTTATTTTATTTTAATTATACTGTCACAAGTACGCAGCAACAAAATTCCCTCTCTGCATTTAACCCATCCCCTATGGGGAGCAGCGTAGGGTTAATGGACTTTGCTCAGGGATCCATAATGGCAGTCTGTTGGAGTGAGGCTTGAACTCAGAACCTCTGGATTCCAAGCGCAATGCCCAAACCACTAGGCCGCCACTCCCCTATATGATCATGCGACCCCAAAATCCTGAGAAGAGTTTGGGGTAATTGTTCAGTTCAGATACCAGCCTGACGTTCCAATCTAAATTGAAGGTAAGCCATCATGTTATCCACCTTAAGAAGTGAAACAGACTGTTCATCATGCTACCCCGTCTATCTTTGACAGACGTTACAGCGCTTTTAGGAAACCCTCCAACCGTTTGTCTTATTGTGGTCAGCTATCCAATCTTTGTCCCATCTGACTTTTTGGAGCGCTGTCTGCATAAACCATGATAATTTAACATATTTAAGAGTTAAACTTCTACTCTGCAAAAATATTTTCATACTGAACTGTGGAGAAGCAGTTTAGAAATACTGATATCAAGTAAAAATAGCAAAGACTTACCAGCAAAAAAATATTACATTTTGGTAGTTGCAGTTCCTACCACAAACCTAAAAATGCATTTGGCTTGAGTGCACTATCAGGATGGCTAGCATTAGGCTAATAAAGAGAGCAGGACCTCAGTGGAACTGAGTGAAAATAACGCTGATTGAATTTTATAGCCGGTTAATTAAAATTAGCTTTAAAACCCTAAAGAAATGTGCCCATATATGAAGCTGAGACAACAGAGGACAGCAGAGAGGATTATTGGGTCTCCTCTTCCCTCCATTAAAGACATTTCATCCCAGCGCTGCATGTCTCGAACTCTTATCGTCAATGAGCCCTCACACCCCCACCATGGACTGTTCTCCCTGCTGCCCTCTGGGAAGAGGCTTTGCAGCATTCGATGCAGGAACAGCAGGTTCTGCAACAGCTACTTCCCCACTGCCTTCAGAATGTTGAACTATTGAATTTCCAAACAAGTCTCTGCATCACACTTGTAATCATATTGCACTACCAAAGTGGCTGATTTTTTTCATAATCCCTTTAAATAGAACACAACTCAATGTCCTTCTGCATTTTGCGCCATATTTATTTATTTATTTGTACTGCACTGAACCTTTCCATATCAATGCTGGTTTTCCTTTTCCCCTGCACTGTCTACATTCTTGATCACTGCTGCACTTTATAAATGGTAATGTTAATTTAATTTCAATGTAGTAAGCGGTTCATTCACTGTTGGAAGCTGTACGTATCGAAATTTTGTTCTGTATTCACACTTTGTAAATAAAATGACAATAAAGTTTGTCTAAGTGTAAGAAGCTTTTGCTGGAATGGGCCTTAAACATGTTTGTAAAAGCCTTAATGTTATTTCTGCTTTAACAAAATCCTAAAAATTGATCCATCTCCACCTAGCACTGGAAATAAAGGGAGGCAATAAAAGCATTCAGCTATTTACTTCTTACTGATTTCCCAAAATGAATTTATTTGCACATGATAAAGTAAACAAAGTATTAGTACCTGGGCAGCAGGCCCGTGTGAGGGGCTCGCTGGCTGAGCTGCAGCCGGCTGTGGAGCCTCATCTCCTGCTGGAGCCACAGGTCTCTCGTGAGCTGCTGTCGGTGGCTGAAGATGAGTGGCGCCATCTGCTGGTGGGAAAAGCTAACAGAAATTTGCTGATTAATATAACAGCTTAGTTTTACATGGAATTAAATATCAAAGTAAATAACTGAATAAAGGAAATAAGAGTCATGCAGCTTGCAGTGTGTTGGTATCATGATAAAAAAAAAAAAAAAATCAAGAGCTTCAGGTCATGTCCACCACAAACACACTCACCTCTAGGTTTTGGGAGCCGTCCTTCACTCTGGGTGACTGCAGAATGGACATGATAGATTATCAGAATTGAATACATGCAACAGGCTTCCATCCCCTACCGGCAAATTTGACAAGCACTAAAACTGAAATTGTGGTTAAGGCGAACGGGAAAGCAGACCCCACTACCAGTCTTTATTTACATTTTATTTACGGACACAGGAAAGAGATTGGAGCAGGATTAAGGGCCAGTTATGATTTTCAGCCAGAGTAACCCCACCTTGAATTAACATGACAGAAAAACACATTCCTACAAGGCTAAAGGTTGCTATGTGAACACCATGAAAACCATGTGCAGCCCACACGACTGAGAAGCAGCCTGTGGGGGTGGGGGGCATGCAGGTTCTCACCCGCAGAGCTGCAACGGCAGCTTTTCCCTCCTCGCTCTCCACATCCAGCTCGTCATCACTCCACTCCCATCCACCGTCCTCTGTCTTATGGAGACGGCCGCTTGAACCGGGGACACGGCGCACCTACGGCACACACCCCGATAAGCAAAGCAGCGCCTTGAACGCTGATGGCTGTTTGAGCCCGTTCTCAGCACGCATTACACACAAAGGCTGTAAAACCGAGTCACACCCTTTTTAACAACGCCACACCTTTGTTTATGTAAACGTCAACTTAGTCTGCATTTGTAACAAGTGCCAAACCTTTTTTGATCGATCTGATATTGTTGGACCTTTCATCAGGAGCTTTTCCTGCAGATACTCGTTGTTCTAGAGCCAAAACACAAAGTCCATATTAAATTTAGAGGTTTTAAGAAATTGACTTGCTTCTATGAGAACTAACAGGTAGCTCACCTTGGCTTTTGTAAAGAATTTGTGCTTCAGCAGCTCGGCCGCCGTTGGTCTGAGGGGGAAAGAGACATTACTCTTTGGAGCTTTTATAAAATAAAAATGATCTGACTGGAACACGAGTCTGAAACCAACCTTTTCTCTGGATCTTTCTGTAAACACAAGGAGATCATCTTCCTGAACGACTTGCCGTATTTCTTCACCATTTCTTTATCTGCGACACCAGTTTCCAGACAGGGAGGGTCGTTCTGCAAAGTCAGCATCAACACCTGGAAAAAAAAAAACAACACATCAGGCATTAAGGCTGACAGTTTATGAGTAAAACATTATTACCGATTATCAGTCTCTGCATCTTGTAAAGCTTTATTCTTCTGATAATTACTCTAGGCGATTCCATCAGGCATATCGGCCATTATTTATAATAGGCTCAAAGGTGATGAAATACAGCAGGTAAGTGAAGCAACTGTAAAGCAGGGTTTTATAACTCAAGTTGCTATGTTAGCCATTAGCAAAGTTCCTCTAACTTTAATAGCAGCATATACGTTATTAAAACGTCATGTCTTAGAAAACCTGGTTTCTTTTCAAACAGCCTGTCAGGCTTTTTATTCTTGCAGTGATTTCACATTTGAAGCCTCAGTGATGCTGAGAGCAGGCTACAGTCTTCTTTATCGTTACTACAGCGTCCTGGCGGCGCTCGCATATGGAGCCTTCCATCGAAAAACATAATGGGAAAAAATAAACGAATCTGATTCATTTTGGTTTAGACAGACACCCATGTGGAAGTTACAGATTACTATCTGCAAGACATTTCTACCTAGAAATATAATCAAACCTACTTCACCTTATGTAGGCCTAAATAGTTCAGGGACTCATCTGTGCGCTCAGTGAGGGAAGTGCATGTAGGCAGCAGGGCCTCGATACACCTGCAGTAAGCAGTGTACCATGTACCAAGGTTTAAAACCGTACTATACTGTATTTGGCTGGGACCAGTATTTCTAAATAAATGTATTTAGTGTTCGAAAAAAGAATGCAAAGTAATGGCACTTAATACATTTCTAAAGTAGCTGAAAACATATTTAGTCTTCACAGTGTTTTATCACGTCAACGTTTATAATTATCATCTCCCCGTCTGCCTGAATTTCATGCTCAAATACGCAAATTAAAGGAATAGTACACCACAAACATGATTAGCCTTCATTTTCTACTCACCCCCATGCTGAACAACACCCTGGAGTACTTTTTTGATATCTCAAATGCATCTGGAGATCTGGGAGGCTTCTTGCTGTCTGCTGACATTCAAATAATGGAGGTCTATTGTGCCCGAGACAGAAAGGTCCATAAAAGTCCACAAAAACGTTTCAATATTCCTCCATGCTGCTCGTCCAATGTATTCCAAGTGTCCTGAGTGGGTAGCATCCAGAATTTACTCGAAACGAAGTCATTTAGAATGTTTTTGGAGCATAAACAGTAGTGTATAGGATTTCCTGAAAGCGCGCACATGCGCGTTCACGACGCTACGGAAGCCGGCAGACCAAACCAGCGCATTCAGCTCGGCAAAGAACTCCTGCTCTTCCTCAACACTGAAGTCCTCAGACATTTTTCTTTCGTTGTTTCTTTCTTTGCACAGGTAAACAGCACATTTCTTCTTCTACGCTTGCATTATCAGCAGAGCAGACGCTGAATGCGCACTTTCATCTGGTTTGGTCTGCCGGCTTCCGTAGCGTCCTGAACGCGCTGGCGCGCGCTTTCAGGAAATACTATACACTACTGTTTATGCTCTAAAAACATTCTAAATGACTTCGTGTCGAGTAAATTCTGGATGCTACCCACTCAGGACAATTGGAATACATTGGACGAGCAGTATGGAGGAATATTGACACGTTTTTGTGGACTTTTATGGACCTTTCTGGCTCGGGCACCGTAGACCTCCATTATTTGAATGTCAGCAGACAGCAAGAAGCCTCCCAGATCTCCAGATGCATTTGAGATATCAAAAAAGTACTCCAGCGTGTTGTTCAGCATGGGGGTGAGTAGAAAATGAAGGCTAATCATGTTTTGGGTGTACTATTCCTTTAAGTAACGAGAGAGAGATTAGTTTTACATTTTAATTATTTCAAAAATTGTCGGCATTAGAAAGGGTTTTTCTTTGTTTAATTTCCTGATTGATACGTTATCGTCATAAGACTTCTTAATAAAAATTAAGTCAGTAATGATAGTCTATTTGCATGGGATTCAGGAATAACAGAGGTATACTTAAGTGAAATAAAAAAATAATAATTTTTTATGGAAATAAATCAAACTGAAAATCTAATAATAGTCATCCGCTGATTTCTCCGTTCATCTTCAGCCGTTATCTCTTTCAAACTATTCTGAGTGATCCTAGTGACAGATGCAGCTATAAACATTGTGGATCTCCGCTAAATGTTTGTACAACTAGCTAATCAAATGATGCGTCACCTTCATTGGTGGATATTTGTGATATGGTGCAGCCCCTGTAGCCAGTTCAATAGCAGTTATACCAAAGCTCCAGATGTCTGCTTTGAAATCGTATCCACGGACCTGCAGATTAAAAATGAGAGCCATTTAAATCTTAAATATGAGGGGGGTTTTTTCAGGATACATTATGGAAAGAAACTGAAGGAGTGTGAGCCCCACCTGCTCCATGACCTCCGGGGCCATCCAGCACGGCGTCCCCACAAACGTCTTGCGGACCTTCGTCCTTGTCATGTCTCCTCCTGCAGCTAGAAAGGCACTCACACCAAAGTCTGAGGTGTGGTTTTTGAATTTGAAAAGAAAGAGATATATGGAAACATGTTTAAAATTTACACAGAAGCCTTTTGTTCCCCAGAAATATTATAAAACTCAAGAATCAACATCAAAATGTAAATTCCCTTTTAATTCAGGAACAAAAAGGGAAGAAGAAAAACACTTCACCAGCTATCTGCACTGAGCCATCATCTCCCAGAAGAATGTTTCCAGCCTTCAGATCTCTGGTGAGGAGATGAGGGATTACATTAGTGCGCACAAGACAAATGTCACGAGTCAGTAACAGCATTCCTCCAGTTATGACTATAAACACGACAAAGCTTCACCCCTTCATCCATTTATTCTTATCCCTCTTGTTTCTGTTTTAACAAACACTTTAAACTTGGTGCAAAATACGTACAAGGAGCTACAAGAGATTAAGGAGCCCCATGCTCTGAGACCTCATCCTCACAGATTAGGTTTAAGTGAATTAGTCACATCACCTGAGCCCAATCAGCTGCTGCTCTCTTTTAACTAAAGCTTAAACAAAAAAACTGCTTCTGCTTAAAAAAAGACATTTTGCAGATTTTATTGCCAAAGCATAATCAGCGTGATTATGGAACCAGTTTAGTGACTAGGAATATTACTAATTTGACGCAGAGACGCTTGTAATGCAGCATATCATGGGAGCGAATCGGCCTTCTCTTATCAGCGCTAGTTCAAGATGTTCCGGGAGGAACTTTTTATGTAAAACAAACCTCCTCAATTATGCATTTTCACAGTATTAAATATTGAAAGAGTGAGATCGAGTTCAAGCTGCAGAGATGAAAAGGCTGGGAGCCTGATAAGGGTGCAGTCTGGCATCTGCAGTCGCACCACGTCTCGCCAAGTCTCACCGATGAATCTGTCCATTTTTGTGGAGGTACTCCAGCCCCTCTAGGACTTCTTTCAGCATGGTAGCGATGCTGGCCTCGTCCAGCACACCGTTCTTGTGCTCACCACGTGAGATGATGTGCTTGATGATGTCCAACACGGAGCCTGCAGAAAGGCAGAGGATTGTCACAAGACATAGCAACTGTTCTTTGACCTGTGGACAGAAAACATCCTGTTATAAAACAAGGTGATGCTTTTATGTCGTCGTCCATGGCTCCTAAATAGATTGGTCAATTATAAGAAGCTTAAAAAAGTTACAATCTAACAGGTGATAATAATATAATATCCTATTAATGCCAACAAATGCCAAAGAAAAGCACATCAGGAACTACATGGAGTCACCAGCGACCAGCATTAGGTGTTTTTTACTCATACTGAGACATATTTACACAGTTAAACAGCACAGCTAATAGACTTCCTACACAATTACATTGTTAAATAAGGTCATTTTTTATAGGTGTACCTGTAAACCATAAAGCCCTACAAAAAAACGGTGCTGTTTGTTTTAGAGGTAGATCATACATCTGATGGCCAATATTTAGTTGGTATTTATTCTTGGCTCTTCGCCGATGGAGTTTGCAATCCAATTTTTAATGTTTGGTTTTTGTTACAGAGACGATGTGAAACTACTTTGGCTTTTTCCTCTTGTATCTTTTTTCAGACACAGTTATCCTGCAAAGTTTAATAAAAAATCACTTGAAAAGTGAAGGCGTTCTCATTGCTTTGAGTAAGTTGTGCATGCAATCAAAGACGCCATGTTGCAACGCTATCTTAGATTACGGTAGCTATAAGGTGACGAACAAGAAGACGACTTTAGATCATTCTCCTTGATATTGGAGGGTTCATCCATATTTGTTTCACAGAGACGGAAAATAAAGTAACCAAGAAAAGAAGTAAAACAAGGGAGAAAACAAGAGGCTAATTCAGCATAGCTTTTATTCTAATTCAAGTATACATTATTAATCCCAAAAGGGGAATTCAGTTTTGGTACGGCCCGTCCAAAAATGGGTTAACACGGTGTCCGAGGCCTGGCTGCCATGAGGCGCATCCTAGCAGAGGTTGCAGGTTTTCTGCTGGACATGCAGGTTAATTTAATATAACAGTACATTTTATGGCTTTGTATTAGAAACAGGGAACGTTGCTGGATATGTCCAGCGCCTGGTGTGTCCCGGCAAGGAAGGGTAGTTTGTTTGACAGCCTACGATGGACGAGGTCATTGAAGGGGTTTTTAGTTGCTGTTATTCTTCACAGAAGTCACAGCAGCAGGTGACTCTTTGCTTCTTTAAATCCGTATTTCTTCATTTATATTGCATTGTCAAGGGTGGCCGTGGTTGATTCCCCTCAAGTCAGAAAGAACAGACCAAAGTAATCCCAGTTTCTCGTAACGATTTAATCACTAGAGCTGCAGGCCTTCTGAGGAACAGTAACTATGTGTAAACAATAAGTTTCCCACCTCCATTCATAAATTTGTTGAAATTAATTAATACGAAGCAAAGAGTTTGTAACTTGAAAACAATAAAATAAACAGAATCATCACCTGACGACACACAAACTTGTGCGGGATGTTGACACTTTAACTTTTAGGACACTCGGCGCCTTCTGTAGTAGTTATTAAGCTCATCAGAAATTTCACGGTAGAACAGACTCCTTTAGTGGCAGAGATGCCCGAGAAGAATGCTGGGATACGACATATTTTCACGAAAGAAGGGTGTTTTTAAACGTTAGGCTTAGCTTTTTAACACATTAAACCTACAAATACACTGATCACATCATGACAAATGTGAAAAAGTTTAAGACCAAAATACTGTATAAAAGTTTAAATCCCGTCTTTAATAATCTACCCTTTCATCAAGCTTTTAGTTTAAAAAGAAAACCTGATCTATTGAAGCTAATGAAAGTAAAGATGGCAGCACAGCACTTACCCCCACTGAGCAGCTTCATCACCAGCCACAGCTCGTCTTTCACCACGAAGGAGGTATAATAAGACACAATGTTTGGATGGTGGCACTGGCTCATAGCCTGAATCTCTTTCTGCAGAACAGGAAAAGAACGCATGAAAAGGTCTCCCTATCTATCAGGCCTCAGTTAAGGGCCGTCTATTAGAATTTAATCTCCCTGTTGAAACAGCTAAGTCGTAAAACAGGTGTACAGTCTTAGAGTCAGGTCTAGACAAGAAAGAATTGACTAAGTTTAGTTGAATCATCGGGTTTTTTTTCTCTTCCATGAAGAGAAACAGTTAGATATTTTTTCAGGAATCAGTAGAAAGTCATCATGCCTAGTTATAGGATCAAAAGAAAGCCTTATTGTAACCCGACTTTTTTTTCCTTGCACTGGTCAGACCAGATGTTAATTATGCACAGTGTCAGACAAGCAAAAAACATCCTAGAATAAGAAAGCACTGATTAAAACAAAAAAAAAGCAGAATCTGATAGGCAACAGCAATGCATTCAACAGCAATCGCACTTCAATAAAACAAAAACAGCTGTTCAGAGTTTTCCCCGTTCATGATTAAGCACCTTGATCCCCCCCCCCCCCCACCCACAGGATTAAACAACCGCTGCTGTTCCGCCCACAGTGATTATTTCACAGCCAAACTCCAAAAGTAGTACGTGGGTCATTATTTCCAGTCATATATTACAGTGCATACATGTGCCAGCCTTTTGCTTTAGTATATTAAAAAATAAAATAAAACGAGACAAAAAAACCTTGCAGAATTAATCAAATGAGTAAATTGCAGTGTAAACTACACCATTAATGCAACTTTTAAGTGAACAGTGAAACATCAATCTTATTATATGCTCTTTTTGATCTCTCATCTGCTGATACTTTATTTACTTTGTTCTGATGTTAGGACAGCAGAAAGTAACTCTCCCTTACACATTTCTGTATTAACTACTCATTTATATCAGGAACAACAATGGGCTGCTTTTAGTATTAATTTAAAACAAGAACACTGTTACAAAGTTCAGATTATAAACAATTTTTTTCAACTTATATTAAAAGTATTTCCAAAAATGGCATGTTTCATGTTACTGCTGTAATGCATTCACCTTTGCTGATACTATAGCTCTCTGTGACTCTTATGCAGCCCAACTGAAGCACAGATGGAGGCCGACATATAGCAGACACATAATTCTAGTTTTCTTTTAAATAGATTCTGCATATTTGTTCATCCACTGACTTCAAACACTTTATATTTGTTGGAAAAAAAGCAATGCTTGATACACCCACAATAACTAACTACCTTCAGGGTAAAGAGTGTCACAATGAGCACCGTCCCTGGTAGCAGATTTATACCGCAGGGCTTTTAGAATCTCTTTAAGTTAAAATTCAAGCATTTTTAAAAACAATTAACATTTAAATTAAAAGCTTATGCAAATTGAATAACAGTATAATTTTTGTATTTAATATTACGATATTGTATTTAATCTTACAAAACTTCAGTGACTTCCTTCATCATACAATAAGCTTCACTCAATTACAACAAGCTGTTTCTTCTTGCATTTTTTTCTCCTAGGTTGAAATGACACATTTACCCAATTATAAACCTGTAAGAAAATGTGGTTTAGCATCCAAAGGTATCATTAACAGCAAAGTCTTAGCATTCAGCAACTGCTGCCATAATCTTACAGTCTGACTTTACCTGATTAGACCTTACAATCTGTAACAGTCACAACACACAGGCTAATTCGTGAACACTAACTAAGGCGTGTAAGTGCAAACCCACAGCTTTAAAAAGGTGCCTCACCAGAAGCTCATCCATGCTAGTTTGACACTTTTCCAGGTTGATGCGTTTGATGGCCACCTTCTCCTTTCTTGGTTTGCAGTATGCTGCCTGAACAACTGCAGTGGCTCCACTTCCTGACGAGATCAACAGCAGTTCTTTATGTACACTTTGATGCAAAATAAGGGACCAGACCACGAAAGCTTCACATAAAACAAGTTATGCTGCAGATAGCATTATCTCTACCCTTCGCAGGGGGCTTTTATTTATTAAACTTACATGTTAGAAAACACTTTCATAAAAAAACGTATACAATATTTAATATAGATAACACCCTCTATCCTCTCAAACAGGCTACATTTGACTAGCAAGACATTAGCTGTGCTTAGCTTCCTTAAGAGCTAACAAGAAAAAAAGTGGCCTGAAGGAAACTACCGGCCTGCTTGAAGGGCTGCGGGTTGGGACCTGACTTCTGATAGCAGCAGAAATATAAGGCTAGTAGCTGGCGAGGCTAGTTGCAGTTGTCAGCCAGTAAAGCCAGGGGAGGCTATGAAGCTAGCATTAGCAGGCTAAGCTACTCACCTATCACCTCATTGAGTTCGTAGTCATCCCTGTTAATCGACCAGGACTGGGTGGACTGTTCGTCTGCCATGATTGTTTCCTGCAAAGGTGTGAAAAGCGCTTGAAAGCAGAGACACAAAAGGCGGTTTAAAACGACAGCTTTGACTTTACTCCATTCGGGTCCGTTGAGGCTGGCTGGCTGTTGCTGTTCCTTTGACAACTGCTGCCTCTGCCGCCCGCCCCTGTCAACACAAGTTTACGCGCGACTGACGCAGCGCTTTACGTTACAGAGGGAGGAGGAGGAGGAGGAGGAAGCAAGATGTCTCCTCCATCAGCGGGGGAAAGTCTTTACAGTTAAAAACCTAAAAGATAAAGAAAAAAAGGAAGTAGGGAAATGTTGGAGTATGGCACCGAAAACGCTATCTCAAAAGATGTTGTGGAAAGTTGAAAAAATAAAAATAATATTACTATCAGTATCGTTCACAATAGTGAAATGTATCCAGCAGATGGCGCTATTGTTCCCAATGTTCTGCGTGTCTTTTCAGTTCATTTACGTCAGTGGAGAGCAAAAACATTTCCAGGAATTATTTAGAAATTCAAACTGTTAAGAGTTGACCACAAGAGTATGGGTGAAACACATATAAAGGGTTTGTTTTGTTGAAGATTATTTTGTTTTATCTTTTTTTTTTTAATAAAGTTTTATTTCTTCCATAAAAAATGGGTCTTCAAATTAAAAGTATCGCTTACTAATAGAACATGACAACAATTTTAATTTATTTTTTGTAAAATAATTTAATCGAGATACAATCTTACCTCCTGACAACTAGGTTTTACACAGACACACATCTCTGGTGGCATCACTACGCCAACAGACCAGGGTCTTCTGAGTACAATTATCTCACAAATTGGATTAAGATACATCTGTATGCAGAGGCGTAGCCAGAACATTTTTTTTTATAAAGGTGGCCAGGTAATAACCAATGTACACTGAGGGGGGGCGAAAGCAGATAGGCACCAGAAGCTCACGATCAATCTACACTGTTCCAACAGGAAAATTAACGGGCAAAATATCCATATTTTCTAAATAAAGACAAACTATACTTTCCTACAGGCTTTGCTAACAAATAGACGCATATATTTAAACATCTGCAATTTCTAGATAAAAGGTATAGTGGATAAAACTCAGCTTTGAGTTCTCGGGCATAAATCTTTTTCACTGTCATTACTTACCTACTTGCATCAATAAATATTCTGCATAAAATTGATATTTACAAGCACTAATATCTACATAAATTGATTATTTGATCATTCTTTCATTAAATTGTTATTTATCTTTGATTTCACTGAAAACTCCTAGATGATTTGCAGAGACGCATGATTTTCTCTTTACCCCATATAACACAAAATCTAGATCTGAAAAGAGCATGAATTCTGTACATGGGCGTAGGTTTGCATAGGGACCATAGGGACATGTCCCTACCAAATTTTTTGCCCGACCTACTTGTCCCTACCAATAATTCTATGTGAATAACATGTTTATAATTTACAATACAGCATTGTTGCAGCAGTTGCTTCTTTTCTCACAACTTGTAAATTGAAGACAATATTTTAAATGCACAGTGTCAGTTCCTTTTATAGTTCCCATGCACATTTAAATACAATAACTCTATTTGCAGTCCCTTGAATATGTTATTTTGTTTTGTTTTATAATACAGAGAATATCAGCATATCAGATTAAAAAAATAAGAGTGGGTTTAACTTCTGTTTACCTCTGCATATAACATATAACAGACATATTTAGATTATATTTGGTTAAAAAGGCATGTATTTACCTTACATCTTAGTCACTGGTAAGTTCAAATGTAACCCTTTTCAAAGTGTAAGGTTGTCCCAATTTTACATTGTTCCGAGCCACTGATGCTTCAAACATTGATAAACAGTATCTTGTGTGTGTAGTCCTTATAAAGTTCTTATAAATGTAGCAAAAAATGCTGCTTTCTCCTTAAACGAATTGCGCTCTGATGCTCACGTCAAGCATAAAAAATAGGAGCATGCACAATGTGTAGGACCAATGACATCAGACCAATTCAACTTACAACCAATAGTGTCCCTACTAAAGTTGAGATCAAACCTCCCTTAATTCTGTACCTATAATCTTTGATGTTAGTATATTGATGTGTTTAATTAACCATAAAAAAGATAAAATGCTTTGAATATTCCACTTGAGAGTATTGCTGCTGCCACCATCTGTATTAGAGGGAAACAATGGTATGGGTGGCCAAAGGGGTGACCAATGATTAGCTAATCCTGGCCATGGCCCCCCATCTAGCTCCGCCCCTGTCTGTGTGACTACAGTAAACAATCAGACTTACATTTTAGAACACTGCATTGTTTTTAGGAGGATTTGATTAAGTTAAAAGACACATAAGAATACTAGGACTGGAAAGGATCTCAAATACTTCTGGACATGTGTTGATATGGTCAACAATCAAATAACTGCCACAGTGTTTACAGACAGGAGGTAACTAGGTGTGTTTATATTGATGCCATCAACCCACAGCAGGCTACTCAAAGCAGAAATACCAGCTTTTTGCTTCTTTGAGCTTTTATGTTGTGAAATCCAGCAATGGAAATCCATATTTTATTACCGAGCTGTTTCATAAATCATCAGTGTACATTTGTCTGTACAAAAATAAACCGCAAAATAATATCAATAACATCCAAGCATGTATTTTATCATCCAAGCATTGTGTTGTTGAGTTGTGCTAATCTGAAGTTGGTTAGACAGAAAAGTGTGTTTTTTTTTCAACTTTAATATTTCAATATTATCATATGTAAGATTCCATTGTTACAGATCTGTAACCTAAATTATTGACCATTATTATTAAGCATCAATAATAAATAAATAAATATATGGATTTTAAATACTATAGAAACATCATTATAACCCCAAATACTGTTTCTCTATATTCAAGTAAAATATTTTTTGTAAAACACAGTATATTAAACAGTAGCAGCACCTGCACACGTATGATAAGTTATTTTTTGTTTTTAAGATGAAATAATTTAAACCTTTAAGGAACCATTCTGGCTTTAATATTTTCATTAACTAACAAACTGACAAAAAATTGGTAAAACCATTGGAGCTAAGCAATAAAGTTTGAATTTTAACTACAGGATTTGAAAAGCACATTAGATGAGAACAGAAAACATATTGATACAGATTATGAATAAACAACTAAGATTGAGAATTTTCATTGAAAATTGCAATTAAGCAATTAGGAAAAATACAGAAGAGCATACCTAGAATACCTTCCTTCGTTTCATCAGAGGCATGTTTGCTGCGAAACTTGTTTTTTGGGATGATAGATATAACCGTGGTAGATAGAACCATGCGTAACATTAAAACAGCAAAACAACCACTAAAACCAACTGTTATATGCAGTTTTATAAGAACACAGAGTTCCGAAAGATTATGTGAACAGAATAGAAGCAGCTAATAGTTTTAAGCTGAATCCATGAGGCCTGAAAGACAAGTTTTTTTCTTTTCCCCTGCATAATCTTAGCTCATGGGATTCACACCAGGACCAGTTTGATTCCTAGTCTCTACAACTCTTATTTTGTTCTTCAAAATTCAAAGAAGCATTGATTCTTAAACCACATTTCTACAGTGAGAAAAAAACAAACAAAGCTAACATTGAAGAATGTTTTCAATGGGTGAGACCTCAGTCAACAACTGAAGAGGGGGGGGGGGCACAGCAGAGTTATGGATGGCATTAGTGGTATGTAAGGAAACAACTGGGCCTGTTCTTGCATGTTTTACAAGCAAAGGCCCAAACACTTCTCCTACTTACACCGTTCACATGAGAAAATCTAAGTTATAGCTGCACTCTGTTACATCTCACTGTTCACTTCAACTCGTCCACTCATTCCCATGTTTGTCTTCTTTTTGTAATGAACATCTGGATTTATTATGAGGTGAATATCACTGAATATTAAGAGAATGTATTACACTTTTTCTGTATGTCATAAAACAGCCGTAACCTTAGAAGTAAATATGCAAGATAGGCATCGGTTACGCTTTGAACAGAAACCTTTAAACAAACAAGAAAAAAGCTCTGAAAAAGTAGAGCTACCCTCACATATTTCTTCAATATTTTTGCTCCACTCCATTTCCCCAGTGTGGGACAATAAAGAGGTTTTCTATTCTATTTTTAAAATGTTTTAGATAATCAAGCAATGGTAGAGCTCTGAAGTCAAACCCCTCTACTGTTCCAAAACAATAGAATTCCTGTCTTCAATTTGCCATTTGAGTTCAAAAATTTAAAAATGAGTTACTGATCCCAAAGGGGAATCAAATGTCATTGTAACTCTTATGGGGGTTTCTAAAAAAGGCAGGAATGATCTCCTGCAGCGTCTTTCTTACAGCAGGTACAAAGAAACCTCTGGCTTAAAACAATCTGATTTTATTTCAGAATCTTCTGAAGGGGATACTCAACATTGTTCACAATGCTCTTAATTTATGAGGAATTCCTCTTTTTGAAATAGATAATCTGCAGAGTTTCTAGAGGAGTTGATCGAACAAAGCTACACGTTATATATTTATTGAGCTTCTTTAAGTCATTTGCCTCAATGCTGTTACCCCGGCAGATGGTGGCAGATTTATAGAAGATATGCATCATCCAGCTGCACACACTGAAGCACTCAGCTTCTTGTCCATCTTTGCAGCCAGTGACTGAAGTCATCTGATTATTCCAGCAGACGATAGGAGGGTTTTGCACTGGAAGCCAGAGATGTAAAGAGTAAAGCGGGATGGTGAGAGTACCTTCCCCTGTGCTGCTCCTGTGGTGCTGACTACCTGGTGAGATAGTTGACCATTTGGTTTCACAAATGGTGGTCTGTTTGTCACCTGAGTCCTATTGAGTTTCTCTCAAATCAGGTTAAATTGATTGATTGGCTTTATTGATCTCACAGAGATTTACTCTTTACATCAGCTAAATAGTCAATGGAGAAGAAGAAGGTGCTTATATATATATATATATATATATATATATATATATATATATATATATATATATATATATATATATATATATATATATATATATAGTATGTACAGTGCGTCCACATATGACAGCTTTTTTTTTTGTATTGTGTTATTGCACAGGGTGTTTACATAGATATTTATAGGGTATTTATGTAGATGGATATTCATATTTATATACCGGTATGTATTTATTGTACTGGGTGCCAAATATAGAGAAACAGGTTATTGCACAGGGTATCAATAGTAAATTCAACATTCGATATTGCACAAGTTATTGCCATTGTTCTGTTGCATTGTAGAGTCTGGTTGCAGCAGGGATGAATGACCTGCGGGATCTCTCCTTTTTGCAAACAGGGTGTAACAGTATTTTATTAAAGGAGCTACTCTGCTCGTCTACAGTCTGTTGCAGAGGGTAGAAGGTGTTGTCCATGGTGGATGCAAGCTTGGACAGAACCCTCCTCTTATCCACTTCCTCCAGTGAGTCCAGAGTGCAGGATAGGACAGAAGTGGCCTTTTTCACCAGTTTGTTCAGTCTCTTTCTGCCAGGGGCCCAGCGGACAACAGCTTAGAGGTGGGCTGATGCCTCCACAGAGTCATAGAAGGTTTTAAATGCACCGGAGAAATCAAAGCTCATGATTATCACAGTATAATCTACCATGTCCAAATGAGATTGGGTTTGTTGAAGCAGCTGTATGAGGGTTTCTTCAACTTCACAATGCTAAGCAAACTGCATGGGTTCAAAGAGTTGCTTGTTTGCTTTCTAATGTGGGACAATAGGAGTCTGATCGGAACATTCATGATGTTAGGACAGAAAAAAATGAATCAGAAATAAAAAAAAAACGTAATGGATATTAATGTGGTGCTCTGTTTCCTGCTTTTTTCCCTAATTTTTATTTATTTTTTTGGTGGGGTTTGGGGGGTGGGGGTGCTTGTGCAGTAGCCTACTGTCCGGAAGCTCTCCCTCCAACTCTGCATTAAAGCTCACTCATCGTGGTGCTGACAGTGCGCTGAGGGTAAGCCAGGCCTGAAAGGGAAGTGCTGAGAGCCACTGGAGCCTCTGCACCCCACTGATTGCTCCGTTATTATCCTGCCAAGGCAATGCTGCTAGTGAAATAGGAAGTAAAGACTTGATCCATCCCATTCAATGTCACCAACATCCTCAAAAACACATTTTCAACTATGTGGGCTGGCAAGGAGCCAACTCAACTTATAACTATAATAACTCCATTCAGCTTGTCTTTGTTGGTCATGTTTGCTTTGCTTCCAAAGGAAGGGCAGGTGTTCGTGTTAAATACACTAGCCCCAGGACTCTTACAGGGAATTAGATATAAGTTTTCAGTTTACCTTCAAGGTTATGGGTGTTTCTTCCTCCCCATTCATTCTTTTTGTGTTGTTGTTGTTGCAGAGTGGCCCCAGGAGAGGGTTTCCAGTTCACTTAAACAGGATAATGAAAAGAAAGTGCCTTTTTTATGCCAAAGCAGTTTCACAAAGGATTAAAAAGATAAAAATCTGAATAATAATTCTTTGCAATAGGGTAATTTAAGCCAGTACATGATGGCACAGGCCAGTTTGAGGTGTAACCTGCCTTGTTGTGACATCAGCAACCAGCTTGAATGACAAGCTTGTCAAACCGGTGTTTGAAGCCTGGAGCAGCGCCCTGTATTCAGAGTGCAACCATTTAGCAGTTTGTGCGGCTGCGTCAAAGACGAGCTCCTCTCGATTTACAGAGATTTGCCTTTTCCCGTCTGCAAAGGTGCGCGCAGGAAAAGCAGAGAGCATCTACTCATGAAAAGGAGGCGCGAATGAGGAGAAAAACTGAACAAACATAAAAGAGGAAAAATAGCGATAGAAGAGATGGAGACAAATGGAATCGACAAAAAAATTACAGGTGGGGCTCATATTTTATTTATCTTTAAGTTTTTTTTTTTAATTATTGTTCTGTATCTGTTGGGTGTATACCCTTTTTTTTTACTTCTATAACTCTAAAACACCTGATACTAAACATGAGATTATGTGTATTTAAATAAAAAAGACAAAGACTATTTTTATGACCTAACACTATGTTCTTCTGCAGCTACTGCGGTACATTTCAAGATCAGTTTCAGCCTAAAGGTGTGGCCCCTCCATACACCTTGTTACATGCACAAACACAGGTGTTGGCAAACCAAAACAGAGCCTCGTCCTTGCTTTGACTAGTCATCCATATTCAAACACACGTTCTTATGGTTATCCAGCGTTATTAACCTGTTTGTTTTTACAATGTTTTATGACGTAAAAGGCGCGAGGAAAGTCATAACGCTGTTAAATCACAGCACGTGAAGTACCACAGTCTGACCACGAGATGGCGCCAAAGGGAAGAAGATTGAATAAGGAGAGGCTGCTTTTCTGCAGATTATTTAGATTTTTCATTCGAATTTCTGACCACCTATAATATTCCTCTGCGTCTTCCTAATTTCTTACATTTAGTGGTTGTCTAACCCTTTAGTCTCCCTTTTATTCACAAACTACGAGGTTCCGCTTTTTTCCAGTAGGTGGCGCTAAGAGGCCTTTGAAATTAGTGTCAATATCAGTACGGTAATTTAATCTTACAGCACTGAGGAATTTGTGGATTATAATTGCTCTACATATAATTCAAAGTATTTAGAATGGACAAATTTGAGATTTAAAGCTTAAGCTATATTTGAAGTTTAAATTTTAATGAGGCTCCTTAGCCTCCTAGGGAAATATATCTTCTTTTTTGAGTTATTTCAAATGTAATTTTAATTACAATGTAATTACAATCTGTGATGAGTGTAGACATATTTGCTTGGGTGTGACCTATTGCCAAGAGGTAATGTTGATTTCAAGCTGGACTCACTCTTATGTTTTACAAACTGTACTAACACCTTTTGTTACATTTCCATTAATTAAATGAAAGTTTTTTTAATCGCATTTTATCATCCGTCATCGTCAAAATATTCTGTACAAGTCTGATATGTCTGGTTATTGTGGGTTTTAGGCCGAGTTCCTTCTAAGTCTTTGCGGAATAGAAACCAAAAGTATTCAAATGGTCTCTTTTTAAATATTCACATATGCAATAAAAGGAAATCAACTATTCAAACTATCCTCAAACTCTTAAGAAATACTGACCCTGAACTTCTAGATACACTCTAGTTCCCTGTGTACTTGAATCAATGGCTGAATCATGTCCTCCACTTATTGTGTGTGTCCTTCATCTGAGTGAAGCATTCATTTTATTTGGGTGTGTTGGAACAGGGATGGACTTTAAAGTCTCAAGGCCATAGTTTCTTAAGGAATGGAGTTGGGGCAATTTCAGATTTGTAAAGTTGTTTAAGTTAAGTACAACGTCAGACACATTTCAAGAGCCAGACAATTTTGTTTCTTCATTATTATTTTTTTTGTTTCTTCTTTAAAAAGTTCCCTTTGAACAAAAGAAGTAGGATTATATCCAAGCAGCCTTAAGTTTATCATCACAGACTGTTTGCTGCAGATATAAAACGTGGGAAAACGGCAGTTATGGCTTTTTTTATTGGCAGTAAGGATGAAGGATATCTCATTAAATCACACTGGGATGGTGGCACACAACTGCTTTCTGTAAACATGTTAGTGCAAGTATTTGTGTGTGTGTGTGTATATATATATATATATATATACAGATATATATATACAGATATATATATATATATATATATATATATATATATATATATATATATATATATATATATATATATATATATATATATATATTTGCATATATACATACACAGAGATAGATATATTTTGTTTATATCACAATCGTTGTTGTATTTTGTCCTCTTTGTTGTGTTAGTGAATGTTTATTGTTTGCCACTTCCTACTAATTGCATGGCGCTTAATTATTAACAAGCAGGGTTTGTTGCTTAACTGTATCCTTGGTAATTTGTAACGCTGACCTATTATTGTTTAGAGAAATGCTGCAAGCATTTATGCCTCATAGCCACACATTCTCATATTAAAATACCCTCTACAGAAGTTTTAGTTGCATGAAAAGTAGAATAGTTGTAGCTCATCAAGTGGAGTTGTATCCGTTAAATCAGGCTTTAAGTAGGTCATGGCTGTCAGCTGACGGTCTGAGGAAGTCCTGGGAGCAGAGAGGCAGACTCTTGGGTCAGATGGTAACGCCCTTTCCTTCACACCGCTTCTCTCTCGCTGATCGCTTCAATAAAACCCCCTGAAGCCTCTCGGCAGCCGTGGAGCAACATGTCATGCGTGCAGAGACAGCATAAACTCAGCAAATCTGAGGAATTACTCCGCAATGCTTCCAGCCAGAAGGTGATACAAACAAATGCAAAACTCCTAGGTATGTTGCGCAACGAGCAGATGTTTGATCAGAGGTTTAATCCAGGAGTTACATGAAAAAGCGTAGTTGTTACACAGCATGCCTATAGGTTTATGTAGCGCTGTGTCTTTACTTAATCCGATGGTTCTGTGCGTTCAGAAAGTATCTCTGAGTTTGGTTTAGTTGGAGATGCCTGCAGGGAAGGCAGGCAGCATGAATGGGCTGATGGTTTGAATTAACTCACACGTGTTTTCTTCAAAATGGTATTCAGTCCTGAAGTGGTGTTGATGTCTGCTGTAAGGAATGGGTCCATAGCTTATTATTGAGAACCTAAGTAAAAAAAAAAAAAAAAAAAAAATGTTTCAAAGCAAAAATTAACCCTACTGCTGTTAAAATATTATCACTAATAGTTAAAGTTAGATCCATGACTTTAACAGTGTTTGTGTTTTGTTTTTTGCAACTGAGACAATTGTATTAATTCTTGGAAGATGTGAGCAGAGTGAGGTAGCCATCCTTCAGTCTGCTGAATGGAAAACAGTGACAAATGAGAGACTTTCTAGATATAATCCATAGAAATGACTTAACAGCAAATTTTTGAATTTTTAAAATCCCTTAAAGGGGAACACTGTTTTGGACCCTTGATTTTATGTTATTACATCATGTTCTACTCACCCATATGAGTTTTGTGTCATTAGGAGCTGTTCTGAAGATATTCGGTTAGGTTATATCCAAGTAATGTCTTCCTACGGGCAACGACTTGAAGGCACAAACTAAACTGTTCATAATTTATTCTTTATGGTACGCCAGCATTCATAACATGTTGGCGAATCGCTGTCCCCCAGACATCTGTGGTTATATTTTTTTATATTTATACTTTTTTTAAACAAAGCGGAGTGTGTATGATGTCACAAAACTCATATGGGTGAGTAGAACATGATGTAATAACATAAAATCAAGGGCCCAATGTAAAAAAGACGGTGTTCCCCTTTAATTTGAAAAACTTGATCTTTGAATTTCCCTCATTAGTAGCTGATATCCATCTCTTTATCTTCAGGTATGGAGGGCGATCCGGACCTCCAGTTCCTCTTGCAAGGCGGAGACCTCCTCAAGGTCCTGTCCTCATCCTGGAAGAAGACCCGCTGTCTTAAACTCCAGGAGGACTGTAAGACCATGTGGCGAGAATCTAAGAAAGTCTTCAAGTCAAGCCAGACCTGTGAGTCCAGTCCTTGATTGTTTTTTATTTTATTTGCCATTATTAAATAGCTAGATCAATTTAAATGTTGATATGTTTTGGTATAGATGGGTATTTAGAAAAGTTGCGCTCCCAAAGCTGTAAAACCAGAGTCTGTGTAACTTGGTATTCTCACCAACAATTGGGTCGTTCATATGAGTCCAGTGGGTGTGTCTGAAGAGATGGTTGTAATTTTTTTTTTATGTATGAGGAGGAGTGAGCTATAATAGCCCCTGTCATGTTTTGTGATGTCCATAAATTGGTTTCATGTGGTCACTGGCTGATAAGTACATATGTGTGACTCCTTACTGGTGTTTCCTTTATGACTAAATCAATATCTATAATGACAGCTTTATGTTTATGAAGCCAGCTCCTCATTAGTGTAAACTGGCATAAAGAGGCATGGACATACTTATTTTTATGCATGAAGGCACAATTAGTCCTTTGCAGGAATGAAACCATAGATAATGCACCATAAAGTAATGTATGATTAACTATGTGCTGTCTTCAGTTCCAGTCGACAGCATCTCAGCGGTTCGACTCGGCCGTCAGTCGGAGGGCTTGAAGAAGAGTACAGAAGAGCAGGTGGAGGGTCGCTGCTTCACCATCCTGTTTAAGGGTCGCCGCAAGAACCTAGACCTCATAGCAAGCTCTGAGGAGGAGGCCAGGCGCTGGGTGAGAAGCCTGGAAAAACTCGTCTCCAACATCAACAACCTCAACCGTCAGCAGACTACAGAGCAGTATCCTTACACAAGCATATGAGGGCCTATTCAGAATAAAGCTGATTCAAACAGGAGTCTGGAGTTTACTGACCCAGTCCTCCATGTTGTGTTTCTGAAGCCGGTAAATCAAGGTCTCACCTGCAAACCCCTGCGCTGTATTCTCCTTACATGCAAAATTCACAGCTGGATTTTCAGCTGCCTGAGGAAAGCAGACAAGGACAAAGATGATAAACTGAGTCAGTCGGAGATGAAGAGGTTCCTGCAGCTGATCAACATCGAGTTGGATGATGACTACGCAGAGATGCTCTTCAAGGTGATGCAGATTTTTGGATCTAAACTTCCAAGTTATTTCATGATAAAATCTAATGCAAATTTTAATCTACATTATTTTTTGTGTACACATGCGTCGTTAATGAAAGTTTGGATCTTAAAGTAGTCATATTGCATTTAAAAAGCTGCGGGTTAAATGCTATTATTCACCGCTGCCACATGAAGATGCAATATTGGCAAAGCACTCGGCGTAGGGTTGCATATTAATCTACGCACTGATGGGAAAACTACATGTGCTCAGTTATCAGAGCGCTCTGATTTGCTTGATGCAGCTGAGTTTAATTACTTCCACTCCTATTTTTCAGAATGCACTGTGGCAATGGGAAGAGGGGAGGCGGTTGCACCAGCAGATGTTTGCAATATTTTATTTTTCTTAAGTGTTAAATTGATTACACATGATCTTGGATAATTGGATGCCCAACTCTGCAGAGAAAAGGCAAAAAAAGAGAGAAATTTTTTTTTTTTTATTAATGTCACTGTTTTCGGGAATTAGTTTAAACCTACATGCTCTGAATGAGTGAAAATTTCACTTCCAGCTAAGATGGTTAGAATGTAAAATGGTCACCTGTTTTAACTCGCATATTAGGTTATATCATGATGGACAGGAAGAACTTTGTTTTGCCTATATTTTTAAACTGTTTTTATCAGTTTTTACCTAAATATATTGAATTTCCTCAGGTTAGGGCAGAGAATGAAGGTTTATATGTATATTTCATATTACATCTGTCCTTACCTGCTGAGGAGGATAAACGGAACAGTACAACTGGACAATTATGCAATGCAATATAATCACAATTTTAAAAAATAAGATTTAAAAATTGCAGTCGCTCCATTTTTCCCTCCAGCCCCTTTGGTGGGAGTAGCACACCTAAAGGGGTTTTGTTGCCACACAGAAGGGGAGAGTTTTGTGTGCAGATAAATGCATCCTTGTAAGCATTTTTCCATATAACATTACGACTATGGACTTTGAGGTGAGTCCATAGGGACCCCAGAGCATAAATATGCAGGTGGCAGGGGGAAATAGATGTAAAACAGCAGTTTTGGTTGGAAAAAGTTGCAGTTTAAAATTTTGGCTTAAGTTAATAGAAAAAAATTACATATTTGAATAAAAATGATGCAGCTATATTGTTAGATCCATTAAAGTTGATTTTTCCATTCGTTCCATCTCACTGAATTTTTCATATGAATTTGAAACTTTCAAATCTGCATTTAAGGCCTAGTTATAGAGGCAGACATTTAATTATCAACTAATCAAGAGTGATAAATAGCACTTTAATCTTATAATAATAATAATAAAAAAACAATTCTGTTATTATTATTATTATTAACAGTAAAATGCATTGTATTTGTGACATGTTGCAATCATCCCCAAACAATGATGCAACTGTCTGTGGGTCTGGGCTCCATTGCAACATCTGACTCTTAGCCTTCTATTGCAAATAATGAGAAACATCTTTAATTAGCTTTAAATGGTGTTGACTATAAACTCAAAGAATATTGTACAGATTAATGGTTTGTCTAATCCGGACAATAGACCAGAATCAAATGTAAAAACACATATATATATAAACACATATATGTGTTTATATATGGGAGATAATGTCATCAGATGGATCAAAACGCAAACTCTGAAAACCAAAAGTGGGGAAGAAAAGTCCCTTTTAAAAAAGTATATATAGTGCCATGTGTTTTATTCATTTATTTAAATTTTTTTTCTTTGAACAACTCAAACATTATTGTAAGTGAATCAATAGCATAGGATTGTGATGTGAAAGGAAAACATCATAATCTTGCAAGTGTTAGCTTGAATAAGAATCTTAATTTGTGTGGAACAAATTTCTGATTATGACCACAAACAATCAGCCTGTAGGGCAGACAGTTCATTCTGGAATTGGTCTAGTATGGCCAGAATACCTTGTTTTTATTCTTGTTTAGGGTTTTGAAACTATGACTTGCCTCCTTAGACTTTTTGTTCATGTCCAATATTGACTTCAATCCAATATCAGGGAAAATTACATGGCATTAAATCAGCCTGCATCTAAAATCCCCTATATTAGCATGTTTATATAAATACCCTACTTCCTTTAAAAGTTAATGTAACTATTTATTTAAACTATTTATTTATTCAAACCTTTGCTAATATTCAGCACTTTAAACCAAGTAATAAAAGAATGTATGATTTGTGTTTATATCATATCTAGCCCATACCAGTACCGTCAGAACTCAAAAGAAACAATAATAATATCATATTGGAAATAAAAAGGCCATATCTGGACATCCCTACTTTTCAGAAAGGCAAGTGGAGGTCTGGTTGTTCTCCCAGCTGTTACTGCGGCCCTCTTGATTTAAACTTGCTGAATTCTCAGTATTTGTGCATTCAAAAATGCAAGATAATGTGTAAAACTAAACCTGATTGCTACACATTATTAGTACCTTTTACTAGTTTACCCTTGACTGTCTCTCTGTTCGATGCATCCCTTATGGTGGGAAGATAAGTCAATAAAAATGTTTGCATAGGTGTCTGAATTTGTAGATTTAAGTCAATCAACGTCAATATATTTCAAGATTTTTTATTTGTGGGCTGCACGGTGACCCTGACAGGACTAAGGGGGAAAAATGAAAGATGGATGTTTATTTGTTCCTCGTTGCCAGCTGTTAAATAAAAGTCACACCGTGTGGGCGAATAGGTTTAGAAGTCACAACTTTCTAACAATAGAAGTATGAATATCAAATTAAAGGGTACAAAGTTGACTTTTACACTCCTTACCAATTGGTGCCAGTAATGTATCTGCTCTGCAACCACCATTAAACAAGAAGAGGAAGAAAACAAAACCACTAATCACATTTTTTTTGCTGAAATTGTGTTTTCAGCGCATGCACTGCCTTATATTCGATCAATGGTTTGTTTTTGCCTTGTTTTTAAAAAGCTAGTTAGCTGCAAAACTCCTCACTGCCACCAGCTGGTGAGGCTTTCTTACTGCTTCATCAGAGGTTGTAAATTCATACTACCGGTAATAAATTTGGGATTTATACCTATATTGCTGCAAAGTTGTGATTCCGATGCAACATGTGAAAAAATTTAAGTCTAACATCTCTTCAAGGTTATTTACTTACATTTACAAATTCAGAAACCTAAGAATCCTTTTTTTTTATGACAGTTATCTCACCCCATATTCTCCTGTCTTTGACTAAAGCCATGTTTTGGTAGGTGTGTAGGGATACCAGAGGAAATGGGGCTGCATACCAAAGCCCAACTCCATTTTTCACATTCCTCCGCTTCACAATTATGCACGACTTTGAGTGTTTTGTTGGGCTTTCGTGTCAAAGAAAAAGACAGAGGACATTTGTGGAAACATTCAAAAGTTGTGAAAGCTTTTTCAAAATACTCTGCATGTGAGAGAAATTATGGAATGGTTTAAAAAAAACAACAACATGCTTCTAAGTAGGAGGGATCGTCAGCAACTGGGAATGTGGTCAGATAAATGGCTCTTCCTGCTCCTTATGGTAGAAATAGATACTGTGTGTTGTGGAAGTAAGTGAAGAAAAAACAACAACAACAACTATACAACTCTTCACTTAGTGACGTAACCCATACATTAATGGGAAGAGTTACATTAGGATATTTTACACTGAATAACAGTAATGAAGGCTGTTTCATTAAAATGTCAGTTGAAAATAAAGAGAAGTTTTTTTTCCAGCAAGATGTTGCCCATTTTTTAGCTTTGGAAAACTTTCATTGAAATGACAAAACCGTAACTAATTCTGGGTTCTTTTAATGAATTAATAAATAAAAGAAGCACATTTTGAATTTCTGCACTTTAACACAGATAAGCTTTCAAAGGAATCATATCAAAGGAAATTTGGGGGTTTGCTTTCTGGATAAAGGCAAAATTAAGACATTTTTAATATATAAAATGTTTGTATGTTTTTTCCTCATGTTATTTGCTGCTTTTTTAAATTTTTATAGATTCTTATCTTTCAAAATAACAGTGCTAACTGATGCATATTATTAAACACCTGTGAACTCTGTTTCCACAATAACAGCAATGTGACAAATCCAATTCGGGATACCTCGCTGGAGCGGAGATCGAGCATTTTTACGATCTGTTGACCCATCGGGAGGAGATCGACGTCATCTATGGGGAGTTCGCCAAAACCACGGGCTTCATGAGTGCCCAAAACCTGGTGGAGTTCCTGATGAAGGAGCAGAGAGAGAAAGCCACCCTAGCTGATGCCAAGCAGATCATTGAGAAGAACGAGCCAGATGAACAAGGTCAGTTAAGGGCTGGAGCTCTGGCACTTTAAAAAACAGGTGCAGCCTGATTACATTCTTGAGTACATAGAATAGAAAATGACCCACATTGGCGAAATTGTGGCAACAAAAGATTATAGCAAAAGTGGTCACACAAATGTGGACCTTAAAAAGTGTATAGAAATAACAGAATGACAGATTTATGGACATAAACAAACATTATATAAGGGTTTATCAATACAAGGGCTTCAATGTAACTGCATGAGGATGAATTTTTATTTTTCTCTTTATCCTAAAGACACGTCTGCATCTTGACTGGAAGGGTTTTATTTTGCACTCCATTTTCACTCAGATAAAATTAAAATTTGGAAAGATTGTTACCAGGGGCAGAGCTATAAAAGTGTCAGAGGGGGGCGGCGCCAGGTACCCCCAAATGATTGACTTGTCACATCAGCAGCTCAGTCCTGTCCTGTACAGCACTTTGTGATATGAAGTGCAAAAAAAGACTTAAGTAAAAGTATAGTCGCTTCAATGAAAATGTTACTGAAAAAATGTAAAAGTTAAACTTTGAGTAAGTTACTTTTGTAAGCAAAAAAAAAAATATATATATATAAGAGAAGAAACTAAAATCTGAAAGAAAACATTAAATTAATTTTGCACCAACAATGATTTATATGGTAAAATGGTCTCTACTTGTAAGGCAAGAGACCATTTTACCACTACAAAGACAATTCAAAGTGTTTTACATGAATGAAAAAAAAAATTTAAAAGCAAGAAGAAAGCAAATAAAACAGCTGGATCACAAAATTAGTTGAATGATACCTTAGTTAAGATTTTAGCTTTACCATCCAAAGGTAGTTCTAAAGAAATGGGTTTTTAACTTTGATCTAAAATATTCAATCCCTTATTCATAAATACATTGTTACGCTATAGGCCAAGTTACATTTTAGATTTTTATATTTGTTTATAAATAACAAATGGCTTACACAAATCATGTCCTCTTCGTACCCAACATGTGCATAGTTAAATATATTTAATGTTTAGGAAAAGAACATCCTCCTTTAGTGTTTGAATACATAAGGTATTCAAACACTAAAGGTTAGCATTAAAAGCTAACAGCTTTTAATGCTAAAAGCTGGGAAGTTGTTACCGAGCACAGAAATTAGTATATTCCACTATTTTGTTTGGGTTTTTTTTTTTTTTTTTTTTTACTCTAAACTTGAACTTTGATATGGGTTCAGTAGGTCAGATTTAATCCCCAGATTAACACTCTGATTTACAGAGGTAAATTTGTTAGAACTAGCTTTTCTTCTTGGTCCTTGCAATGTTCTCAACCTCCCTTACTTTCAAAAACCTTTCTGTATAACGCAAAGCTTTATTCATTATTCTAATTCTATTCAGTTTATTTAAATAACGCCAATTCACAGACATGTCATCTCAAGGCACTTTACAGAGATAATTCAGCCAGATCAAACAATCAGATTGCTTTTTTAAAGAAAAACCAGTTGATTACATCAACTCATTGACTCAAAGCCAATCCCTCACACCAACCATGCTGGTAGCGACAGTGGAGAGGAAAACTTCCTTTTAACAGGAAGTTGCCAAAGCCAGCTGGGGTTAAAGGAGAGGGAAACGGACAGAGAAAGAATTTTACTCCTGGTTGTTTTGGACTGTAAACTACTATCTCTGCAATACAGTAAATGGTTGATACCAAAGTTTCTTCTGAGTACCAATAATGAAAACCTAGTAGCAGTGGTTGTCACATAGCATATATTCATATCTTTATATGTTCTAGCATTTTGTTCATATTGATAATTACCTATTTATAACATCAGAAATTATTCTGTAATAACTTTTATTGCTTTTGCTCCCTTTTAGCCAAGGCCAAAGAGCTGCTGTCCAAAGATGGCTTCCTCATGTACCTCCATAATCCAGATGCCATGCTCCTCAATCCAGATCACAAGGTGCTGCATCATGACATGCAGCAGCCCCTCAACCATTATTTCATCTCCTCCTCGCACAACACCTACCTAATGGAGGATCAACTGAAAGGACCTAGCAGCACAGAGGCTTACATCAGGTAACAAACTCATCCTCTGTCTTCTGCGTGGAGGACGGCGTGAGCTGATTAACATCAGCTTAGTCCGCAGATGTTTATCCAGGTTTTGCTGGGACTTACCTCTATATCCTGGAGAGATGTGGTAGGGGAGACTGGATGATAATAATTACTGTTTTTGCAGAAAGCACCCTGAAATGTTAAAGAATGAATTCAGAACATTACAAAATAGTTTCTTCATACCTTTTAAATCTTTTACAAATACCAGTCTGAGTATTCAGCGCCACTTATTCAACAATTCATTAAATGGTTTTAGTGGTTGCTACAGCTGCAGGTTGGGTGTCTCTCCATCTAATTCTACTCAGGGCGTCTGACATCAGGGTTTAAGTCTTGCTACAGAACACTGACTGTTGAATTCTGCCTGAGGCATACAAATATGCATCAATACTTTACTTTGAACTATTTAGAATCTCTCCCCTCCATTCTTCATGCATTGTGTCATGATCTCTGGCCAGCTTCCCTTAGAAGATTCCCTCAACCTTAGAAGATTGAAACAGACAAAAGAAAAGGAAAGACAGCAGCTGGTTTATCTGTTGATGTTGCCAGAATGAAGATAAAATAGGAAATTTAGGTATCAGTCTGATCAGATTATTAATCAGCTAAATCTGATTAAAGATGGTGCGCTCTGACTTTGAATTTGAAGCACCAAAGGCATTTTGGATGGTATATGTGTCATCTCACCACCTACAATGATAAAAAAAAGTTATTTGTAATGGTTGCTAAATAACTGTTTTCCCTCCTTTTTATGTTTTACATTTATTGCAGAGCTTTAATTTTCTGCAACATGCAGCACTTTGCAAACCAAAACCAAAAAGTTTCCTTCAGCCATCCTGAGCTCCTTATTTCACATCTTTTCATTTCCCTGCAAACAGCTAATTTTTCTAGCGGATTTTTCGAGAGCCTTCTTATTGGTTATGGTGTAAATAGACGTCCCCCTCCTGAGCTGTGGATGTTTCTGGCTCTCGCTTAGCTAAAACAACCCTCTTATCTGCTGTGATGAGTGAAGCTTGTGGTTGTAATGCTGAAAGGTGCCGTAGTGAGTTTTTAAAGATGGTTTGTTGATTCTTCAGGGCTCTGATGAAGGGCTGCCGCTGTGTGGAGCTGGACTGCTGGGATGGATCGGACAACGAGCCAGTGATCTACCACGGTTACACCCTAACCTCGAAGATCCTCTTCAAAGATGTCATCAAAGCAATAAAGGAGTATGCCTTCAAGGTGTGGTTTATTTGTAATCTTTGGCAGCATCTTGTGAATTGTCTATTGTGACACTTTCTTTTTTTTTTTTCCCTCCTGTCGTCCTCCAAGACATCCGACTATCCAGTAATTCTTTCCTTGGAGAACCACTGTAGCGTAGAGCAGCAGTCGGTCATGGCCAAGCATATGACCTCCATCCTGGGGAGCGCGCTCGTCACCACTCCCCTGGGTGACAGCATGCCCACCAACTTCCCATCGCCTGAGGTTGGTTGACATCAGTTCAGCTGGTTTAGGGCTTTGATGGTAAAAGGTTTCAGCTCCACGGTGTCATAATGAGGTGTGCTCTTCTACAGGAGCTGAAAGGGAAGTTCCTGATTAAAGGGAAGAGGTTAAACAAACTGGAAGCCAGCTTTGCTGATGTTTCTCCAGAGGACGAGGATACCGATGTGACAGAAGAAGAAGAGTCTGGCAATGAGGCTGAGAAAGAACCAGAGGAAAAGAAGAGCAAGGTGAGGGGGGGTACATCAGCGGTGTATTGATGAGTCACCCTATATTTTTTGATGAATGTCTAACGTTTTTATTTTTGTTTTAAAAGAAAAAGCTCAAACTAGCAAAGGAGCTGTCCAACATGGTGATCTACTGTAAGAGCGTCCATTTCCATGGCTTTGAAGACGCCAGAAAAAACCTGGGCTTTTATGAGATGTCTTCCTTTAAGGAGGGAAAAGCCATGAATCTGGCTGAGGACTCGGGTAAGGAAATCAGCCTGAGCATTTTTAACTGTTGCTTAGAGTCCTGGTTCACCATGCAGAGGTATTCATACCTGTTTTGAACTTTCCACACATTTCTTTCTGTAAGAAACACTATTTTACAATTCTGATTTACACAATTTTATGTGAGAGCAACACAAAAGGGCACAAGATTTGTATTTGTTCCTTGTTTAGCCCCTTTTACACTAATGGCTCTAAATAAAACCCAGTTCTACCAATTTGCCACACATTTTGTCCACCTAAGGTCAAATTTAATTTTATCTCAGTCTAAACGGCTCAAAATTTTCTATGAGAACATGGAGATCACCACATTGAAACATGGTAGTGGGTGCATAATGGTGTGGGAAAACTGTAGTAGAGATTTGAATTCGGGTCAGATCTGATGGGAATATTTATAGAGCTAAATGCAGGACTATCCTGGATATAAAACCTGTTTGTGAAAGAGTTCAGCCTGTAAGGGTACTTTTGCAAGAAACTAAAAAAACGGTCCCTTTTTTTGTTTTTGCAGCAAACGCCTACATCCGACATAACGTGGAGAAACTGAGCCGCATTTATCCTGCAGGCTCAAGGACTGACTCTTCAAACTACAACCCATTGCCGCTGTGGAACGCAGGCTGCCAAATTGGTACAAATCCAGTTGTTTTGGGGTTTTTTTGTTTTGTGTTTTAGCGGATATCATCAGGTTCTGATGGGAAACGGGCCCTCGTTTACATTTCTTCATTCTCCTTCTTGATGCGCTTCAGTCGCCTTGAACTTCCAGACATCCTGCAAAGAGATGGACATAAACCAGGGTAGGTTCGTGGTCAACGGCAAGAGCGGCTACGTTCTCAAGCCGGCTTACATGAGGGACGTTTCCACTGAGTTCGATCCGATCACCCTGACCCGGGGAGAATGGCTGCAGCACAAGACGCTGCATGTCATGGTGAGGCCACCGGGGGCAGGATGATGAGTTATGTTCATGAGGGAACCTATTCAACCATAATACGTTTGCATCTGCCACCAGGTCATATCAGCCCAGCAGCTTCCCAAAGTCAACAAGAAGAAAAGCTCCATTGTGGATCCATTTGTTACAGTGGAGATCTACGGAGTACCAGCCGACGTAGCAGAACAGAAGACCAGTCCTGTTGATAACAATGGTAACATTTAGCTTTCTTCTCTATTTTTTTTTATTTTTGCTTTAATCAGAGATGCGAGATGCTGCTTATAACATATTTCTGGCTTTGTTTGAAGGTTTTAACCCAGCCTGGAATGAGCTCTTCCAGTTTGAAGTGTACGTGCCGGAGCTGGCACTGGTTCGCTTTCTCATTGAGGACCACGACTCCACATCTGGCAACGAGTTCATCGGCCAATACACTATTCCATTCAACAGCTTACAAATGGGTATGTATATTTTCCCCCTTTCTAGTAATTTCAAGTCTCCAATATTCGGGAAATATTTTATATTGGAGCCAAAAACTAAAAAAAGAAAAAAAATCTATGTACATTTTGTAATTCAAAAGATAACTATTTGGGTTGGTTAGTTGCATGAAATACATTGGGGCTGTTTGCTCTCTGTTAGCCTTTTTTGTGAGGGAAGAAACATAGATCTCATTTTAGACTCTACACAAACGGCTCCTCTCATTCCTGATCTTCTTTATGCTCCCACCCACACAGGATACAGACACGTGCCTCTGCTCAACAAGAATGGTGACCTCCTCCCCTCAGCTGGACTATTTGTGTTCGTCATGGTCGTGGATGCTCAATGAAACATCAGACTGTGTGTTACTGCCACCCCTCTGCTACAAACCTGGTTCACATGTTTGTTTGTTTTTTTTCTTTTAGGGGATGATTTAACTTATAAATTTTATTCTAGTAGATTCTAATGAGACTAAAGAAAAAATGATTTTATGCCTGAAAACCAACTCATTTGTTCCTAATTTTAGCCAGAATATTTTAAGAAAGTATAATTTTACATAATTTAGGGAAACAAACTTCGACAAAAACAAATGTTTTCACTAATTATCTTAGCCTCTGATTGTTTTTTTTAGTTTTGATGTAGCTTTATCTGACTTATTTTCATTGAAATCACTTAACATAAAAGTGTGAAACTGTGTGTTGTCTTATTTTTACTATTTTTTTGTGAAACAAGCAGATTTTTCCTTGATTTGAGAAGTCAAGGCAATTTACAGATGGATAAAAGGATTTATGCTAAAAAAAAAAGAGGAAACAACAAATTTTTTATGTCAAGTGCATACTATCAAATCTTTTTAAGGGAAATAGATTTACCTTAAGACATTTGCACTTCTAGATCTGTTTTTTGCAGCAGCTTTACATTGATGTGCTTCAGGAAAAGCACACAAGAAGGAAACTTCCTCATGTCTTCCCACAGAAAAAAGTAATTGCCAAGTGAACTTTGGGATGACACACCTTGGGTATACAGGACGTTGATAAAAGACAAGGGAGTGCTGCAGGAGTGTGAAGAAGCTTGTGAGTTTCTCCTTTTCAGATAAATTCAATGCATCAGTTAAAGGAAGAAAACTTTGCCTCATTACATAAAAAGCTTTAGCTTTGAGATAATTTAATGAATCAAGAATTCACTGTAAGAAACCAGCATTTGTTCTGTTGCAAAGTTCCTTCTTTCTTTGTTGGCAGTCCTGTTTAAGGTTATTTTGAACTAAATTAATTGTTATTTTAGTAGTATATGGAAAATGATAGGGAAATCCAATATTAAGGGTAATTTATTCAGTAGGGGATAAAAAAAACAACAGTTTTTAACCAAATCCAAATAATTGTCATTACTTAACAGCAGGCCTGCACCAAGCATGCCTCCTATGAGATTTTAAAGAGCATAGAGTTAGACGGACTATTCCTCTTTTGTTTAAAATCGTCTTGGTCTTCAGCCCATGTCGAAAGGAATTTGGCCTTAAAAGCTTGTTTAGTGTCTGGTGAGCCGTTTAAATTTAATTTGGCCATCTGTTCCTGGTGAAAGACCCAATGACAAGGGAAAGGCTCAGATGCCTAAAAAAAAAAAAAATCAGTGACCCACCACATACCTCCCTGTAAGCATCCAATTCCCTTTTTTACATAATCATTTAGTGTTCAAGTCCAACAACCCTGGAGTTTGAATTTCCCTTAATATAGCACTGTCCTTGTGATGTTGCATGGGGCAAACTCATGTTTTTGTTTGTGATCTCAGGACAGGAAATTATTTTTCAGGCACCAGGTTGGTATGCAGGTGGAATCTGATGGTTGTTATGGATACTTGGTAACACACAAATGCTGCAGTTTGAACAATTTCAAATGCATCATTATCCTGGTTATTTTTCCATGGATGCAAAATATAAAAGTCATTATCCAGCCAGGACGATGTAAATGATGGCTGTCTGTGGCATGTCATGCATAAACCTTTCCAAGTTTAAAAAAACAAAACAGGTCTGTTTTTAAAGACTTTCTAACCCCACCTGGCTCAATCAACCACCACACCCATACCAGATTACTAGAACTGAAGTCAGTAATGCATTTAAAAGAAAAAACCTGACATGAAGGTTAAATATCTAAGACAGTTAATTGATATCCACCAGTGAGCAAAAGTACTTAGGCTGTAGGATTCCTGAGAACCACCATGCATTTTAAGTGTCCTACAAAAATTATCCTAAGAGCACATTAATGTCTCATTCAGGTGGTTACATGCACAGAAAAAAAGAAAAAAAAATGCATTGTCTTATTTCAAGTGCATATTATCTGATTTTAGGAGTGAAAATGCCTAAAATGAAATTTCCCTACTCAAATTAAGGGTAAAAAACACCTAATTTAAGAAATGCTGACATATTCCTAAATCGTCTTTGCAGTGATCAACAATCTGCTTAAAAAAAAAAAAAATTGAGAAAACAATCTATAGACATGACAATACTATCTTTTTGGACGAAATGCAGTTATATTTGGAGTAAAACTGGCAGTGTTTAAGAAAAAAGGACAAACAGCCAAACACTGTGGTGGTCCAGTGCTACACTCCTACCCTCAGTAACCACAAGAAAAACCTGAAGACAACCGGCTTTGGGAAAAGACCAAAAGTCAACCAGCTTATCTGTTTTTATGGATAATTAAAGAGAAGAATGTGGAGTGACAGTTAAAATCTGACTGAGATGCTTCACCATAGGAAAATGTTTAAAAATCCTCCAAAATGGATGTTTATTTTTGCTTCTTTGTGTTATATTTGGTTAAGTCTTCCAAGTACATCAAACCAAATATCCAAGACAGTGGTTCTGCTAAAGGTGAGTTATCATGTCAGTAGAGTTAAGCAGTAATAACTGTTTTCACTGGAACAGGTTGAGCTTCTTATAATGAATAAACTTTTAATACTTCAGGTAATTTTTGATATAATCATATTTGTTCTGAAAATAATGATCTGAAACATTAAGATGTGTGAAGGAGAAAGGTGAAACCTTTAAGGATAAATACTTAATTTTCTACAGGTGTAGAAAAAAAAAAACAGGACGTGAGAAAATTAGGTTCAATGAAGCCTTTATTAAGGAAAGAAAAAAAAAAAAGATGCTCAGAACACTGCCAAAACTCAAAGTCAACAAAAACAAAGTGTTTTCTGCAAAAAAAAAACAAAAGAAGTGAACCTGAACCAAAACGACACCACTGTGACTGAACCTTAAGTGTTTTAGAACTTTGGTGTTAATACAAATGGATCGACGTGATCGTAAGTGAAATGGTGGGGAAAAATTTAAGGAAACAGACACGTAAACGCGTCCCTCTGACAGAGAGCTATCAAAAAAAAAGGCAAAAGACAGAGACAAAACAAATCTAAAAAATGGGTTACATGACTTTTTTTTATAGCAAATACTGACAAGATGTAGGTAGAAAAATATTACAATGAAAATTTTCAGATAAATTAGAGAGGTGTAGAAGAGTAAAAGCAATGCTTCATATATATTTATATGTATAAAAAAACAAACAAAAAAAAGCATTGCGCCAAAACCATCATGACCTGAACTCACTACCAACACAAATGCTCAAAAGAAAGATCAGATGATCAGGTTTTCCTGAAGGAGCAGCGACCTTTGAGATAAAGAAAAACATATGAAGTAGTGTAGCCTTCTCATAAAATACCATGACCCTTTAAACCAAGCAACAAACCCCAGTTTGTTGGGACATGTCATGTCACCTCAGCCAGGCTGCGTATGATCCACATATGCAGCTCTGAGATTCAACACCACAGACGGAACAGCATCCCTCTCAATGCAATGCTGGATCGAAAAAGAAGACCTGCTTTGTGTCTCCCTTGGCAGTAAGGCATCAACGCCAAGGATTCAGTTCTTCACTGTCCAATTTTTCCGTTTCAGGACCCTGCTAGCGCTTCATTGATCAGCAGGACGCTCCTCAAGGCGTCCTTTTCACAGTCTACCTTAAATGAAAGCTGACTTTCACCCAGAATCAAACATTTTAACTGCTCCAGCACTAATCTGATAAAGATTATTCTTAATAAAAGGTTGTCGTTCGTCTGATCTGAAAGCAGGAATCATAGTTAAACCCCTACTGCATGGATTTGTCAAGTGCTCTTAGAAAACCCAAAACAAACCGGGATGGAAACATATTAATGCAAAAAAAAAGGAAAAAAAACAAAAGGTTATTGCCATGGTATCTAATGTTGCAGCATTTGGTTTTGCTGGGCTCCTTTCAAACATAGGCACTGAGGTGAAGAAGAGTTAGTTTGTTTTTATAAAAGAAAAAGTCTGGGACAATAAACATGACATAAGGTCTTCCGGCAAGGCTGGAGAAGCCCCGGCAACGACGGCACGTCAATCAGGACGAAGGTGTGATATTGACAAGCGTCTACACCAAACTCCTGGAGGTTCCTCGAGTCAGGAGGGAAGAGAGACATGGCGTCCTCTGTGTGCCTCAGCGACCTCGGACTCTTTCAAAGACCAACACAGACCGAGAGCCGGTCATCTGATAAACGTAACAGAACAGATCTCAAAGCAAATAAGCTATAATGCTATATTTAATAATCATTAAACAGGCTTAACTCAAACTGTGGCAAAGATATGGAGCCTAATAAAGGAGATTTCCTCGTTTGGCAGGAAAAAAATTAAAAAGCAATAACTAAAAAAAAATGTGGAGGAAATGGATGAATGAATGGCACAGTTTTATCTGAGCTTTCAGATCAAATGATCAAAGAAAGAATAAAACTTGCAGCAGATGGGGGCTTGATATTCACAGCTGCAAGCGCGGCCATTTGCCTAACATAAAAATTAAACTAGCTCTCCAAATAATGAAAGCTGAAAGAAAACAAAGTCACACCTATATAATGGCACAAGCATACAGGAAAAACAAAGAAAAAAAAAGAAGTACTACGAGACGAATAACCAGCGGCCGATGATCCAAAAGAAAAAACAAAAGTGAAGTACAACTTTAGATACTGATACTCTTGTGTCCACTTTAAAGCATATTCTGTGAAAAACCAAAAGTACTCTGGAAATATGCCATGTAGAAAACGACTCCCCATATAAACGACATTCACACAAGGCACTTCATTCAGTAAGAAAAGAGTCACAGTCCTTTCTACTACCAGAAACTGCCTGCATAGCAACAATATGAGGACAAAATAGTTTCCAGGCTTCAGTGTGGTTCCACAAAAAGAGTCTTAGATGGAAAGTTGCTTTTCTTTTTGCTTTTGGTTTAAAAATTAGCACTTTACTGAATAGTAAAAGTTTGCCGATTTTGAAAATAAAGAGTTCGTTCCTCTCGGTATTTTGTCCCCAATACCATTAACTAAGGATGCTCGGTACACTTTCTGGTGTGGTTTCTGTGAGACACAGTGGTCCTGGGATAATAAAGGTTTGTGTTTTTCTGATGGCACTCAGAAGGCAGCCAGTCACAGGGAGGAGAGAGCAGAGAGACATGGTTGAACACGGAGGTTTCCACAGTGAGAACCCCCCCCCTGCCTCCCGGGTCATCTTCCAGAGCCTGGAGAGACGGCGGGCTGTAGAAAAAAGACAGAGATGGACAGAGAGGAGGCCGCAGAGCACAGGCTGAGCTGCAGCATGTCCTGCTACCTGCTTCGGAAATTTCGCAGGACTCCGTAAACCTCGTCTTCTTTGCTGAGTTTCTCAAAAAAAGGCAGCAGGTCCAGGAGTTCTGTGTCATTCATGTCGTCAAACCAAGACTGAACTGGGACCTGGGGGAACAATGTTAACAGTCAGTTTGATAGAAGATTCGGTGAATCACATTTTGCTACAATTACAGCATAAACCAGTGGGATACAGCTCACAGGTAAAGTCTCAACGTTTGACCGTCTTCATTGCAAAACAGACCGAGCTTAGTCAGAGGCGATGGCAGGCTTTGGAGAGCTGTCCTGCCACAAAATATTAACTGCCTTTAGGCTGGGACTTTGACTGGACCATTTGGAAGCATGAATAAGCTCTGATCTAAAGCTCTGGCTGTTTGTGTAGGGCTGTGTCCAGTATAAAAGTGAACCTCCACCCCAGTCTAAAGTCATCTGCACCCTTAAACAGATTTTCTCACCATGGAGACGGGGGGGTATTCTGGATGAGGCACCATGTTTTCACCACTCACAGAAGTTTATATTTAGACCAAAAAAAGATTGGTTTTAGTCTCATCTGAGCAGGTTACCTTTAACTACCTGTATGCCGTATCTTTGGTGAAATCCAGAACCAATCGTTGTTCCTATTAACAGATTTCTAGAAAAGTGAGGAATGTTTGGCTACCTCTTTAGATAATGCCCTCCTTACTGAGCTAGTCAGTTTCATTCAGGGTTCCTACAGCATAAGGCAAGTTAAATTCAAGACTTTTTAAGACTTTTTAATGCCACTTGAAATAAAAAATTAAGACCAAATTCACAAGAAACACAAGAAAAACCTGCTTGCGACAACTTTACCCAAAGGTTTATTATAAACCACAGCACTAATGTTTCAAATTTTGAAAAACTTCCCATACAGGAAGAAAGCTAAAAACTACGGTGGCTGAGAAGTGCAAAACACATTTACAATTCAAAAACACATTAACAAATAAAAAACAAAATAACATTTGAAGATACAAAATTATATTTTATGAAACAAATGTATTTTTGAAAAAAAAGTTAAAATTTTTAAAAACAAATTTACATTTTAGCAAACAAATTTACATTTTAGGAAACAAATTCACATTTTAAATAAGTTAGATTTTAGGTGAGAGAAAGTTTAATTTTAGAGAAAAAAAAATACATTATAGGGAAACAAATTTACATCTAAAAAAAAATTGACCGTTCGGAAACACTTGTACAAGTGCAAAGACAAAACTGCAAGCGGCAAAACACAGTTACATAGCTAAAAACAAATGAACAAAAGACGGCTACACAGAAAGGGAATGTCCCAGTGGCCGGATGTGACGTCACGATTACCCTGACTTGTAGTACAAACAGCTCAATCTGTAGTCCTCCTGCTTTACGTGAAAAGACAGCGGCGATTTTAGATGGAAAGAATTGCACTGAAGCTGTTTTTCTTAAGTTTATGCTAACCAAACAATGTTTTGCCCTTATTGTGGTCTCTGGAACTTTTACGGGACACGGACCAGGTGGCAGGACCAAGCAGCAGGGCCGAGCTCAATTCGTGGCAGTGGCTGCGTTGCAGCAGTTCCGGTGGTCCTGCCACCTGGTCTGTGTCCCGTAAAAGTTCCAGAGACCGTCCGCACGAAGGACAAAATGGTGTAAATTGGCTGAAATTTGCTCCACAATAATAAAATCGCCGCTGACTTTTCACGTAAAGCAGGAGGACTACAGATTGAGCTGTTTGTACTACAAGTCAAGGTAATGGTGACGTCACATCCGGCCACTGGGACATTCCCTTTCCGTGTAGCCGTCTTTTGTTCATTTGTTTTTAGCTATGTAACTGTGTTTTGCCGCTTGCAGTTTTGTCTTTGCACTTGTACAAGTGTTTCCGAACGGTCAATTTTTTTTAGATGTAAATTTGTTTCCCAAAATGAATTTTTTTTTCTCTAAAATGAAACTTTCTCTCACCTAAAATCTAACTTGTTTAAAATGTGAATTTGTTTTTAAAAATTTTAACTTTTTTTTCAAAAATACATTTGTTTCATAAAATATAATTTTGTTTCTTCAAATCTTATTTTGTTTTTTATTTGTTAATGTGTTTTTGAATTGTAAATGTGTTTTGCACTTCTCAGCCACCGTAAAAAACACACAAACGACAGATATATTTGAACAATTATTTAACTGAATTCACAAACTTTGTTTTAGCAGGGAACAAAACAAATCAGTTTTAAAGCCACAACATAACCAGTGATAAGTCTTTTTTGCAGCTATTTTTCTTTGTATCGTTTTCTTAGTATGTTTGATTTGGTGATAAGTGGAGGCGTTGCAGAGACAAGGGTGGAACAAAACTGAAAAATACTGGCTGTTTCTCAGTAACTCGATTTTGACAATTTGTGTTTCGTGCTTCGCATGTGTGACTCCACTGCCTTAATTCCCATCGTTCCGAGCTTGAATCGCTTCTTGCACAAAATACACTGTGCCTCATGTATGTTCCCTGGTTTTAGCCATGGAGAAAACTCTTGGCTGCATAACCAATTTTCGTTACATTTACACTTGCTCATATTTTCCAGACAAAAAGTTAATGGCGCATCTCCCAAATGTCCCGGCCGCAACAAGGCTTTTATTGGTTCCGCTATCAGGACGGAACCAATAATGGCGAGCCGTTATTTGTTTTAAAGAAAAATAAAAATGGTCCATTTTAATGTTTTAGTTAGATTACAAAAATAAATCGTAATAAAAATAATCCTATTTATGATGTTTTAAAAATTAAGACCTACGAAAGACTGATTTAAGACATTTTAATACCAATTAAGGCCTTAGTTTTATTTTGAAGTATTCAATGCCTTTTAAGACTTTTTAAGGACCAGCAGGAACCCTGTTCATTGAATTGTCATGTCTTTAGGAGGTTTGAAGATGTAAAACCCTCTCCCGAGATAGATGTATTAAAACCCCAAAAAGTAGGAAGTTTAAAGCTTGGAACATCGTTTTATAACCCAACATTTCTCCAAACATATCCACAGCTTTCTCCCTGGCATGTCTGCTGTGTTCTTCAATCTTTATAATGTTTGTTCATTAATGTTCTCCAAAAACCCTCTTAAGGTGATCTGACACTGTGCAGTGAGGAACCAATATGATAAATGGGGTGAAACTGATCCCCATATCGCCGTTAAGGCCAATAATCAATAACTGCAATCCTGCACTGCACCAATCAAATAAAGCTTATATCATCCCCTCCTCAGTTATTAACACATATCCAGTTTTTAGTTATCAGACTGATACCTGTATGATGGAAAATGCCCAACATCAGCATCCTTAATAATAACTTAAATTGGATTTCTATTTAGATGTATCTGGCATAAAAATGCTTTCAACACTTCGCCTGTATATACCAAATCACCTAAGATCTCTAAATCTATGAAAAGTACAAACTTACAGCATTTTCTGGATGGAAAATATATGAGGCAGGGGAATTGTCAACAATAATAACATTGTTGAGCTCTCGCCCCAGTCGGCTGAGGTCTTTAACGTAGTTCCCTCTGTGAAACACGCAGGATTCTCTGAAGAGCCGCGCTCGGAAAACCCCCCACTGGTCCAGCAGGTCTGCCACGGGGTCTGCATACTGTTCAGACAGACACACATAGATGCAACGCTTTTCAAAAATGTTCACGTTACACAGACAATTGTATGGTTTTGTGATGTAAAGCAGAGTAACGTGTGTGTCAAGCCACAGTTTTAAGCAGAACAACTTGCAAAAACTAAATGGGTTACTATGACTTAGAAGTACATGAAGGATGGCGTCCTTGATTGCCATTTATGAAGCGAGGACAATGTCAACAAATACTACTTTAGGTAACAAAAAGCACTGTGATTCCTAGCACTTTGTTTAACATGTGGAGTAGCTCTTAGAGCAACAATAATAAGCATCTTACTGAACTATTTGTCTATTATTCAAACTTACCGGTTCATTATTGGAAAAGATACATAAAAAAAGAAGGACAACAAATCAAATCAAACAACAAACCAAAACAGCCGTTAAGAAAAAAAAAGATGAAGTGTCATTACTTAGTAAACAGAAAGGATCATAATGAATAAATTCCTCCATCCCGTACCTTAGCTAGACTGGCTGTGAAGAGCACACATTCAAACAGCTCCCCCATCTTCTGGAGGAACTCGTCCACATGGGGCCGTTTCAGCACATACACCTGAATCAAAACCAAAAACAATCAACGCACTCTATCGTTTACTGCGTGACATAGCATTTATTTTCTTTATTTTTTTTTATAAAAAAAAAAAAATATATATATATAATAACAATAATAATAATAACAATAACAATAATAATAATAATTATTATTATTATTATTATTATTATTGTTATTATTATTATTATATATAAAAAGAAAAAAATGAGTAGCATTAATTTTCACTTTGTTCATCAACCTCCCCCACATCTCTGTCCCTTGCTCTTCGCCTATTGGCTGACACCCATTGCAAGTAATCCTGAATAGGCCAACCTAGATACACACAGCCTATCCTGGATTACTTGAACTGGATACCAGTCAGTCTCTCCAGGATCTTCACACAGGAAACATGGAATCCTGCTAATCTATGCCAAAAAAACAAACAAAAAACATTTAGTGTATTTTTTGGTTCTATACAATACCTGGTGAACGGTACCATCGATCTCCACCGGTACAATAAAATCAGCATTACTGATGGGCTGCAAACACAAACAACGTAATGCATGAGAGAAATTCCAAAGAAAATACAGTACCTAAACTGAGCAGCAGAGGTCCTGCTTGTAGCAAATGTGAAGTCTTCATGATGGTTTGACTGATGACCTGGATGGTTTTATTTAGGCCTAACCTTATAGAAAGGTGTAAAACTACAGTAACATTTATGGAGTCAGGAGCAGATTCCCTGGCAAAAAGCTCTAAAGATTGAAAGCCACTAAGCCAGTAGTATAATACCTTTATTTTTTTAGCATATTTGTGCCTTTAATTAACAGGATAATTATTGTTTTCAATTTTGACAACTACAGTTAAAAAGAAAGGAAATAACCCTAACCAACATATGTACAGATGAGAGATGCACGTAAAAACAGTCCACCTCAATTTCCGTCTCCTCTCACCTTAAATGAGCTGTGCACGAGTGTTTCATCCAAGTCTATCACCACACACTTTTTACCATCGTCAGATATTTTCATCTCTGGTAGGAGGTACTTGGCTGGTGGCTGCAGAGAGGGAAAAGCAGGTAATGTTAGATACAATGAGAAACTTGGACTTAAGACTAGGTTTTGTGCAGAAAAGCTCCCAAACATATTGTGTTAGAGGAATATCTTTCCATGGGCAACTCCAGAAATATGCTTAAAGCTGGATTAGAGCTCTAAAATAATAATTGCTTCAATCAGTGGGTAATTTTTTCTGCTACATCCAAACACTCCAGCATGTCCAAAGCATTAGAAGGGATGCATTGAAACTGAAAGGCAGACTTTCAGGTTTATTTGAAGAGCTTTACTAATCAAACGCCCAATTAAAGCAAATTATATCAAAAGCATAAGAAAGAGAAGAATTATGCTGCTGGATTACATTATGCATAACAGATGTTCTCCCATATTGGACCAAGAAGATAATACAATTTATTAGCTGCAGTTAAACCCACAATTATTCATTCCACTGGTAGATTTAGAGTTCAAATACATTTTATTCAAACAAGAACTTTATTTGTGACAGAAAGTGAGATGTGCACCTTTCACAAAACAATAATAAAACGAATATCAATTTTAATTGATTGCATTTCTATCCTTTTAAAAATGGTATGACAAGTTGCACCATCAGTGAAAAAGTCTGTTTCCACATTTCAGCAATCGGCCCCATCTTATGACTTTGCAGCTTTTTGCTTGTTTCAACCAATGTGTTCAACGGTTATCTTTGCTGATAAGCTCTTAGGGGTTGGAAGGCCTCCGTGCTATCATCCTAATCTGTAGATTCTTTACTGGTTCTCAAGTCCGGGTTCTTTTCAGGCTGATCTAAAATCTTAATATTACTTCTAATCAGGAGAAATATGTTGATATATAAAAAAACAAACAACAACTGTACTTTAAAGCTAAACACAAATATATCCCAGAGTTTAAACAAACAGAAGAAGAAAAATTAAGATGCAAAAAAAAAAAAAAAACTATTATCTGAAGCATCTTAAAAACATGGACTACAGAGATGAGGTTTGCAAAGTCGCTGACAGGGAAGGATAGCCTGGGTGCCATTCCGAACTTAGTCCCGCCCACAACGTTTGAGGTCGGGAAGTTCGGTCTGGCATTGCTCAGTAGTAGCGCGAGTATGCTCGCACAATATCTGGCGGGACAATCAAATTGTCAGGGCGGGCTTTATACGATGATGGACAGATGATCAACAGTAACGTAATCAATCACGTGACCAAAGTGCAAAACTCTGTTCAATGTGGGCTGACTTCCTTATCCAAATATAGTGAGTTGTGTTTGCTTAAAAACCTTTTAAGTGTCACGAGCAAGCCGCATTTCCTGCTGCTGTCAGCTGGAGAAGTTACTACAAATCCTATTGTTTAAGAGGCAAATTAAAATGTTTTTGGTCATGGAAAGATCAGATTGGTCCCTCGGAGCTCAGTCTTTTGCCTTAAGCTAATTTTGCTCATAAGTGATAGCAGGGTGGGGTAGGTGGTGAACTACGAGCAAACCAAAAAGTAAAGCTCTTTAGTCTGAGATACAGAAAGAAGCACATGAACTCAGCTTCCTGTGCAGGCTGACCCTTAAAGAGACAAGCTCCATCCTCCAAGCAGAAGTGGAACAGTAGCTGTCGGCTGTCGCTAGCTGTAGCTGTAGCTAGGAGGGACTATAGGAAGGTGTTTTAGGGTCTGATTGGGGGAGTTTAAGTAGTTTCACTTTACTCATACCTGAAGTAAGGCTTTTAAATATTCATTTTGATTGTTGAAAATGTGTGATTATGTCCAGCAAAATATCCTGCAGCACTATGTTCCACCAGCACAGGCAATAACTGATGGTGAGCATATAATATTGGTTTTATATCTTTAATAATTTAAGATGTTTTAAAGGGGGAAATAGAATTAAAAAATTAATCTGTGTAAACAGTTAATGCCATCGGGCTTCTCTGGCTACTGGCTCTGGCCAATGCTGCTGGGATTTGTATTCAGTCAGTCATTTCCCGTTAAATAATTTGTCATAAATAGTACCACTCCATCTATGCAGTCAGTGCATCAAGATTATGAACCTGATTTTAGATGTGTGATTTTGTAGCTTTTCAGACCAGCAGAGTTCTGCAGACAGGACATTTACTGGGAATACCCAGTTTCCATAGCCTCAACTCAGACAGAAACTCAGCGATTTCCTGCTTTTGATTAAGTTTTTAAAGTGAATCTTAATGATTATTAGGTACTTGGAAAAAACTGCTAATACCAGAATATAGAATCAAACAGTTTTCACTGAAATAATTTTTATATTTTAAGTTCATGTTTATATTATTTATAAATTCTTTAATAAGTTGGAGAAGCAATGATCAAATAGAGAACTCTGACGTTATGTATCTATGTGTGGAATATATAGGGATCTATGCTAACAGTTTTAAAGGAAGAGAGAAAATGGCTTGGATGCAGTAACTATCTCCTAAAGGTCGAGTCATCGCCGGTTCCACTGTCTACAACTTCTACTTGTTACAAGTATAATTTATAATCAAGGCATCATTTCCCGTAGCTTCAGACTCACTGTAATAAATGAAACATTGGCTTTAAATATTTTGTATTTTTGCTGTCAATATCCAATATGATATTTACCTGCTCATCATTAAAATAATAAATAAAACTGCAGATTTAAAAAAAAAAATAATAATTTAATGTTTTCCTACTCATGAATCCAATTACACCTAACAATGTATTGAATTAATTAACTGCATATCTCTAAATAAAAGTTAAAACACAAAACAGCCCATTTTTAAGGGAGGAAAAGTAGTGTTACAACGGCAAGTAAGGAGTAAAACCCGTTGCGTATTGTTACCGCCACCCCCTGGTCTAAATGTGTGATGCACCTTTTCCTCAGGCTAATTGAGGTAAATGCCCCCCAGGCTGACCAATTCCCTGGGACTCCTGTAACCCAGGCAACAGAAATGTTGGGTCTTTCAGTGTAAAATGGGCATATGTTTCTCACTAATGTAGTAATATCTCAAGGTCCCTCAGATGGACCTGGAGAGCGTCAATGGGGAGGGGACGTTTGGTTAAACTGTGACCATCTTGAATGAGCATTTAACAATAAATGCTTAAAAAAACTGGATGTTTGGTCATGTTCAAAATTTTAACTTCACTTTCTGTTCCAACAACATGATACTGTGGAACTGTGATACTGCTATGAAAGACTTTGACATTATAAGAACCTCAAAAACAGCCCATGCCTACTCTACTTTTGCTTCACAATATCAGCAAATGCATGACTACTCTGAATGAGACCAAACATCCCCTACTAAAAAGTATACAATTAGTTTTTCACCTAATCATCTACATTCCCTCCAACTGAACAGGCTGAATCAATTCTTTGGTGTTTTTTTTTGTTGTATTACCTTAAAAATAACAGCCTATAGGATCCCCTAACTGCTGTGTTTGGTGTGAATTACTAGAAAAACACATTAATATCAGATCTGTAGCTCAGTGTCGTCCCACCGAGCAATTGAAAAGACTTTTTTAAAGTCTTTTCAATTGGTTGAAAAGACTTTAAAAAAGACGACATGATTTACTCCTAAACGCCGTCTACATTTGGTTGTAAAGGAAAAGGTCAAAAGCGGTAATTTTCAGATTGTTGAAAAGACGCAGAAAACCCAGTTATCAACATATTTTCAATGTCTAATATGGGACAAGTGGGAAGAAACCAGAGTGACCAATCAAAGCCCTAATTTCAGTAACTACTTCTGGACTAAATCAAGACTACCGGCCAGACTTAGCCTAAAAAAACAAAACAATGTCTGAATGACGTCTGGTGTTTGGTGGGATAACAGTGGAGAATCAGAGTAGCTAAGCCAGACCCTTTCTGATGTCCAATTTAACTTAGCTGGTCGCATGTAAGCAGATCACAGCTAAGTACTGCTTCCAAGTAAGGAGATCAATTAGTTTTACCTCAAGTGAGGTCATAAGCCAAACATAAAGGGATGACGTTTGTTTCTTGCCTCTTTATATTTAACTTTATTTAATTGTAGCACAATAAAAGAACGAATAAACTAGAAACTTCCAAACACAGTTCTATGCTTTAATGACGTAGTGGGATATATTTCAGGGCATAGAGACCAAGTGTCATTCATGCATGTCCAGTGCCTTCACCTTGCAACACGAAAAAAATATTCAGTTTGAATTTCCTAAGACAGGACAACACAAAGTATTGAATTGATATAAAAATGCTACATGACTTTCTTAAAACTTTCATATCAATTGATTAATAATCAGACAGCAAAAGGTTCCTTAAAGAAGATTTTTTCACAAAAGAAAAAGGGGTAAACTAAAACTTTTCCACTTGAGGAGTTCTGGATAGATCATACTGACAGATTAAATATCTTAAATGCAAAATGTTTATGTATTTTTTTTAACAATTTTGATATAATTACTGCTGTGTGTTGCTCTGTCAGCTACAGATATGCTTTACAGTTTCTATACTCAATTTAACGATAAACAAATTACTAAATTAGCTGACCACTATTAAAATAATCTATTGATCACGATTAATCCGGTTAATTGTTTCAGCCCTAGAAGTGTTCCTTTACCGCCTTAACCTTTATACACGAAAATGTTGGTTTATTCTTTTTTTCCCTTCAGGCAAATTGCAAAGACAACTCAGATTGTGAAATCTCACCAAGGATTCTTCACAATCTGATTTTGGCCACCATGTTTCAGCAAGAAATGTGTTTTCAGATTGACCAGATTGGTCTAAGGAAGAATACAAGCTGGACAACTGATTTTCTTCTTCATTTCATATCATCCTGACAAAAGATTCTTGTAGTTTTGGATCTCTATAGCTCTTAAAGGGTTACCAGGAGGTTCTAGAATGCTCCTCTGATTATTGCTCTCCCTGCCCAGCCTGTCAGTCTAGATGGTACATTTTTGATTTATAAAATGTGGGTTGAATGAAGCTTGGTCAGACTTTGATAACAGTTTATAATTTTCCTCCAGCTTTACAATTATGCGCCTCTTTGTATTGGTACTTTGCATAATATCCCAGAGAAACAGACACCAAGTTTTCTGGCAGTAACATGAAAAAAAATGCTGATTTAGAGAGACAGGGATATTTGTGCAAGTGCTCAGCAGTTTAGTATAAAAAGGTGCACACTTCCTATGATATAATCAGCAGAGAATGATGGGAAATAAAAAAAAAAAAAAAAAAGAGCAGTCAAAGCTCCCACACAGAGAGGATGCACCAGCCCACACACCCTGCATGCAACGGGAGAAAAATAATTGTCATACATACACTAGGGTCAGGGATGACCTCGACCTGGTCACACTACAACACAAGAAATAAAATACAAACAATAACCAGGGTAAGAACACACACACACAAAAAAACAACAAGAAAAAAAAAAGTCACAAACTGACCACACTAATGAAGATGCTATTTGGCATACGATGAAATAAAGAGAGCAGATGTGGTCCAAAGCTGGACTGTTTAAGGCCCCGTCCACACGAAGTCAAAACGAACACGGAACGCTGATATTTTCCAAAACGTTTGCCGTAAAGACGGAGACGTAAAACAAATGTGGTCGTCCACACGAATGCATGAAAACGCTGCAAAATGTATGCCAGGCCTGTAAGTGGTGCTGTGGTGCCAAAGCAAAAATAGGCGACGAAATGTTGGGCATGCGCAGTAATATTTATACATGGTTGCCCTGCGGGTCCATTTTGGTGGTTCAGTCAAATTCAGGTGCTGAACTATGTCGTCGACATTGCTCTGTTCTTCCTGGAGATATTCCAGAAGAAGAAGATTCTGTTGTAAGCCCGACAGCAGGGTGAGTAGCATTAGCAGCAACGGCGCCATTGTTGTTGTGATACTGTGTCGCGCATGCGTGTTTAGAGGCGACGCTATGACGCATGCGTGTAAAAAAATATGCGGTTAGAGCGTAAAGATGGAAACGCCAAAACAGTGTTTCGAAATCTTCCCACTCTGATGGCTGAATAAAAAAAAGATCGTTTACAGACCCCCGAAACGCCGGCTTCGTGTGGATGAGAGGCTGGTTTGGTGAAAAATTTGTGCGTTTAGGCCAGGGTTTGACTTCGTGTGGACGGGGCCTAAGTCCTACCTTAGGAGGCGATCCGTTCTCCTCGACAGGAGGAGGCGGGGAGCTGCTGTTGGTAGCTGGTGGCTCCACATTGTAGTTACGGAAGCAACAAAAGAATGTGCTGAATATACTTCGACTCCGCTGCTTCTTCAGGCTGCTGTTTGACTGGGATGCTGTAAAAAAAATGACGGGAACAGATAAAGGAAAAGAGGCTGAACACTGCAGAAACACTGCAAAGTAAGGCCAGAAGTTAAACCAACCATGCTTTTCTGAGCTAAAAAGATGTCAAAGGTGCTGCACATGCCTGATCTTGGATGATTTTTCTCATTTAAATCTCAAACACGTGACAAGTCTTTGATTTCTATTTAACAGTGTTACAGTGTTGTTTAAAGTGCAGTGCACAACACAATGCTGGTTGATGCTTTTATAGACAAAATATTTTAGCTTTGATTAATTTAAAATGAAGGGGGGAAAAAGGAGTTTAGTATAGACCAGTGTTTCTCAAACTTTTTCTGTCATTCCCCACTTTGGACAAGGGGGAATTTTCAAGCCCCGCCTGTCCCCATCGCCCCAACACAATGCTAATGAAATATGCAACAATCTTAAAATGTTCCAATTTTATTGAAGTAACAAGTAGTATCTAAATACAAACTATCTACATCAAATAACAGCAAGCTAAAAAATAAAGAAAATAAAAATGCAGCTGTGTCAAAATTTGTATCAAGCTCAAAGATAGAAAAAATTAAAGTGCCACTCTGCAATCTGTTAATAAAAGAAAAGAAGTGAAATCCATCTGGCAATACAGGTCTATTTATCCCTGCATTAGTGGCTGCAATGAGCCTGTTTTGCATTGCACAGTTTCTCAAAACGGGGTTGCAGGCTTGATACTGCCACCCTCAAGTCATGCTCAATGTTCAGCTGAGATCTGTATTTTGTTTTCAGTGAAGCAACAGTTGAAAAGCCCATCTCACAGAGATATGATGTGGCAAAGGGAAGAAGAATGCACACAGCTCTCTGTCCGATGAGTGGATACTCCCTCTCCACTCCAAACCAGAATTCACTATGAGTCTGAGCATTAAACCTGAGCTTCAGGGTGGAGTCAGACGTCATTTCAATAAACTGGTCCTATTTATTTAAGATAAAATATTTCAAATTCAGTTAATTAAGATCAACCTGCGCCGCCAATCCCGGCGCATGTGCGCTTTATTTGCAGTCTGGACGCTGAGGGTAAACATGCTGTGTCTCTGACTGCAGCGCTGAGAGGGACTCCTGCGATAGCGGGGGAGAACGGGGTTGGGACGGGGGAGGCGCCCCACGGCAGCACCTGCCGCTGGAGGACAAGAAAAGGAACGATACGTGCTTTCACGTAAGAGTCTCCAAAAGTCGCTAATTTGTCGCTAGTCGCTTTTTTGATAAAGAGTCGCTGGAGGGGTCTGAAATATAGCGACAACGTCGCTGAGTTGGCAACACTGGGGCGCGAAAGTTTATTCCGTTACAAATAATATGCCGACGTCACGTCAATCATTATTTTGGCACTTCAGTTCCAGGTGAAATTTTTCTCATATCTAATGTTCTTTTAATTAGACTGCATGTAGGCTAGTAATGATTACTTTGTGGGTTTGATTGGTCTAAAAAGCGGCAACATACAACTATAAGGACAGTTTGCTCTCACACGTTCTACATTTATAGTCACACACACACACATACACACACACACACCGGAACTTGGCGCGCCCCACCTGTCACGTCTCAATTCCCCACCAGTGGGTCGCGCCACACACTTTGAGAAACGCGGGTATAGACTAAGGCTGCAATGATTATTTTGCTAATTAATTAAGCTGTTGACTCATTCATTAATAATATATTAATAATATATTTAGATTTCTGTGTAGATTTTTTAACAAATAATATAAAATAAAAAAATGTATTAAATATATTTTCAGACAGAGCCTTTTTTTTTTTATTTATCAGCAAAATGTGTCTATAGTTTGTAAAGTTTTGGCTTACTTACTGCTTTGATTGAAATAAAAGGCCATGTTTTAGAGTCTGTATACTCCAGTTAATGATTAGAAATGTATGTTATAATATCCAAGAAGTATAGATTGCTACTGAGTAAGTCCCCACATTGGTCTGAGGCAATAGCAAACAATAGCCTCAACACGGTGACTGCACAGCATTTGGGTCAGTTTCAGAGACTACCTCTGGAAGAACCACTGATCAGAAAATAACTTTGCTGGCTGGATGACCTCATCACTCAAACGCTGTGACAGTTCAGAGCTCTACATGCTCTACTCCGATTGCTAATCACTTCTCATTCCTGGACTACGAAGCATAGCCTAAATCAGACACCCAGCCTTTATTAATAGGGACAACTTAGAAGCTGAAAAATCCTCCCTCATATTTTCTTATTTCTTTTCCCCGAAGTAGCTTCTATCACCTGATTTGACAAGATTCTTCATTTTTAAAGTTTCCCTCCCATATGAGCTGGCAGGTGAGTGACTGAAGCAGCCTGAACACGACAAGGAGAGGAAGAGGAGGAGGAAGGCTCTCAGAGCCCACAGAGCCTATACATGGCTGCATTCCACTCCAGCCATTAACCCCACCGCCTCACCCCAGCAGAATGCAGCTGGAGGCCCGCGTACAGCTAAAATCTTTATGTCAATGCTTACTGCATCTTAATATTGTCACATTTTGGACTACTCACCTTAAACAAATAAAATTTGTTTAATCTCACTAGAGAAAATTAAAAGTTTGTAGTCATCCTTTCAAGACAAAAGCAAAAGTTATAAACGATATTTTAAGAGTAAGAAGTTTGTTTACATTATTCTATATCCATTGAAGCAGTATCAATCTGCAGACCTTGAAACCAACATGTTCCCTTAATAAACAAGCTTAAGAAGATTTTTAACAGCATGTATCTACCGTATTTTCACGACTATAAGGCGCACTTAAACGTCTTTTTTTCCCCTCAAAATGTGCGGTGCGCCCTTTGGTGCGGTGCGCCTTATGTGTGTTGTAACTGCGACTTTTGAGACCACCTCATTGAGGAGATGATGAAAGAGTGGCTGAATGTAAGGAGACCAGGTGTTTTTTTTCCACTCATCACCATCGCTGTTAATATGTGACTCCACGCGTGCCCATCTCACAGCTGATGTGAAAAACATGGGGAAACAAATTAACGCTGCTCGACATCGGTGTGAACCGGACCCAGCAGGTGCAGCAGAAACAGCGAGTTTACATGCAAAGTAAATGGTTGACGCGCGTATAGGCGCAGCAAAAGGTCCTGCAGCGCGTTTTGAGCAGCAGGAGCGTTTAAGCATCTGCCAACGCGCTGCTGCAGCTCGAGATGGAAAAATTGAAGTTTTGCTGCTGGACGCGCCGCATCAACCAATCAGAGAAGCTGATCTGGGAGCTGACAGCGAGACAGACACAGCGCTCTGATGACATATGATATTAACGCAAATGAAACGGGCTGGATGGATGAGGAGATGATGAAATCGTGGCTGAGGGAGGTGTATGTGAGGAGAACAGGTTTTTTTTTTCCACGCATCACCATCGCTGTTAATCTGTGACTCCATGCGTGCCCATCTCACAGCTGATGAGAAAAACATGGTGAATCAAATGAACGCTGTGCTCGCCGTTATCCCGGGGGGTCTGACAAAGGAACTTCAACCGCTCGACATCGGTGTGAAGCGGCCGTTCAAAACAAGGCTGCGAGCGGCGTGGGAGCGATGGATGACAGACGGAGACCACAGTTTCAGGATAAGTGGAAGGCAGCGCCGGGCAAGTTACGCCACCGTTTGCGGATGGATTGTTGATGCTTGGACTAATGTGTCTGCTGGCTCTGTTGTTCAAGCTTTCGCAAAAGCCGGCATTATTTCTGAGGAGCCGCGCTGCACGGAAAGTGACTCTGACAGCGAAGAAGGGGAAATTGGCATGTCTGATTTAGCGCAGCTGTTTAATTCAGAAACAGAGGACGATGACTTTGATGGGTTTGATTAATACTTTGTAATAAATACATTAATAAAGCACAATCATACTCAGTTTTGCTCCCGCTGTGTTTTTCTCCCTGAAAACTTAATTCAACGGCAGCCTCTGGGCGGGTCTCCTCCTCTTCACCGCGGTGGCTGGCAGGTGTTTTTTCATCTAAATAATCTAAATCTTGCAGCTATATTTGCTGTGATCAGTGGGAATAAAGTAGTTTTAATATGTTTTTAAGTGAGAAAGTCCACCTGAAAACTTCATAATTGCAGTCAGTTCATCCAGATTATCTATTTCTGTCGGAGGCGCTCAGACCCCCACATACCAGCGGTGCACCAACAGGAGAAATCCCTTCATCTGCAGCCTCTAGGCCGGGTAGCCTCCAGGTTCACCGCGGCTGCTGGCAGGTGTTTTTTATCTAAATAATTTTAGCTGCAGGCACCAGGATACCGGTAATAAAAGCGAACAAATTCCGTCGGCAGGTTTCAGGATTTTAAGTTAATTTAGGAGTGATCACAGCGCTGTGTCATCTGTGATGTGTCTGTCTCACGGCCAGCACCCAGGTTTGATTAATACTTTGTAATAAATACATGAATAAAGCACAGTCATACTCAGTTTTGCCCCCGCTGTATTTTTAAATACGCATTAGAGGTATTTAAAGGTAGTAGAGGACATGTACCTGTATATAAAAAAACGCGCCCTTTAGTCCGGTGCGCCTTATGTGTGTGTTAAATACAGAAATGGGACACATAACTGAGACTGCGCCTTTTAGTAGGGTGCGCCTTATGGTCGTGAAAATACGTTAGTAAATACTGCATGCAAGAGTAACACGCTTTAAACTATGGTCTCTCCTATGGCTTTGACTCACATTAATTACAGCCTTTCAAGCGAGAACATGTAGGGTATTTGGGCCATCTTATCTTTAACTCCAACTCCTCTAAAAGAACGTTTAAATTGAAGATGGATTCATCAACATGGATGTAAAATGCTGTGAAGAAATTTGGTGTTTTTATTTTTCTTCCCGTTTTTGTCTCACTTCAAACATTCAACAAATTCCCTGACAAAAAGCCGTTTATAAATTAAGTTACTTTACAAAGTAGGAAGAAATGGGGACTATCACAACAAACTCGGACACTTGTGAAAAATCAATCACCCCCTTGTTAATTCATAATCTAACTATGATTAACTGCCT